TAAAAACGTGAATCTCCTTTAATTGGCTGGACTCCTCTTTTAAGCTACTCACAGCAGTCTGGATCTCCATTCTTTTTCTAGTCAGCAGTAAGATAGTAGTTTTTACTTTAAGTAGTCAAGTGTCGGGATCTCCGATCCCCCCGAGTCGGTTGATGAGAAGGATCCAGCACATTGATTTATTTTGAAGAGAAAAAGATTACATGAGCAATTCTCTGCAGATATCTGGCTCAAACTATTGCTTGCAAGCTGGAGGTCAAACACACAAGCACGTATCTCAGCGTTCGGTGTAATGGCGTCTCCAAGCAGTAAAACCGCTGAGTTTTTATACACATGAAGACCAGTGCCAGTGAAGCTGAGGGTAGCGCACACACACAGCAAGATCATCCTCAGTGGCCGGTCCAAATCATAATTAATTGCCATAAAGTAAAAACGTGGATCCGGATCTTTCGTACCGAATAAGATATGAACCAAGGCCATGAACAGCTGCAAACTATCATTCTGCATCATGTTGCTCCTTGCACAACAGGGACAAATACAGGACACTTGAGACACGGCCTTAGCACAAAACAATGTTATAATATATTTTACCAGTACATGCATCTCACAATTCCCCCTTTTGATCTCTTCAGAGATCACCCCAGCTATTGGAGAACGTCTGCTGGATCAGCCTCCTCATCTGAGTGCTCGCCTCCTTTCCAGGCGTTTGGCGACCCTCCGGTGCCCGTTGCCGCCTCTTGCTCCTGATCCTTCAGGACGTCCTGGAGAGTGCGAGCTGGTTCCTCTTCGGTGGCACACTGGCTCCAGTGGTACCAGGTATCACCTTTCCCTCTCAGCCTCACTGCATGTGAGGTTCTCTCCTCCACCTGATATGGTCCTATCCACCGCGTCTCTGACCACTTTCTCTTAATGACCTTCAGGAGGATCCAGGCTGCCGTGTGGGGGTTGTGGGCGTTCTGATCCCGTTTTGTCTCGCACCTGGTCCGCAAAATCTGAAACGAGAGCTTGTAGATCGTTATAATGACTTGCATACTCACCTGGCGGAGCTTCCGGGTTGGGCCTAAGCTTCAGGCCGGCACTGGGTCCAGGGAACTGTCTCCCGGTGGTCAGTTCGTACCCTGATTTACTGAGCTTCTAATGGCCATTAACGCGAGTGGGAGCGCTTGAACCCAGGTTAAATTTGTCTGTGCACAGATTTTAGACAATTTTTGTTTCAAGTTTTGGTTCATGCGTTCTACTTTGCCTTGCGATTGTGGGTGATATACTGTACCAAACGCGTGTTTCAGCCCCACATGAGCCATCCCATGTGCCTCCTCGACACTTGTTTCTGATGCCCGGCGGCAGCACTGGGCGACGATCAGGGGACCTCCAGAGGCCTCCAACCTCTGTAGCCCCTCTTTGCTTCCACACTGTTTTCTCCTGAGGAGACGCCCCGTTTTGGGCTTCCTAAATTTGTTCCTCATTAAGTTGTGGCCCTAACTGTCCCTTATCTTCTGCACTTACCATTTGGAGCCCAATTTGATAACCTGCAGCCTGTTTTGCAGCTTGGTCTGCTGCCTGGTTTCCCTTGGCAACCATACTGTTGGAGTTCTCGTGTCCTTTGCACTTAATGATAGCCACGGTGCTCGGTAGAGCCAAGGCTGCCGCCAAATCTTTCATTTCTTGTTCACGTTTAATCGGTTTCTCTCCAGCCGTCAGAAAACCTGCTCTTAACTATTGTCCCAGCTCCACAGCTGCTCCTACTGCATACGCCGAGTCAGTATAGATGTTTACTGCCTTACCTTCTGCCAGCTGTAATGCTCTTATCAATGCGAGTACCTGAGCTCTTTGAGCTGACTGACTTCCCTGGATCCTTTCTGCTTCCAGAACCTCTGTCACTGCCCCATGGCTTCTGACTACCACGTATCCCGACTGCAACCCCTTCTCTGGATGTCTAAAGCAGCTGCCATCAGTGAACAATTGCCAATCAGAGTGTGTCAGTGGTGTGCCTTTTAAGTCTGTTCGGACTTTTGCTTCTAGTTCCACCTTGTATTCACACTGGTGTGGTTCTCCCTTTCCCATGTGATCAGCCATGTTGATGCCTTCATGTGTGAAGGTGAGATTTGGAGCTTCTAACAGCTTACTCAGCCTTCTTTGTCTTAGTGACGTCATCGTAAAAGTTTGCGAATTTACGTAAGCTACTATGCTATGTGTTGTTAGCACATGTAGTGGATGGCCCATGACAACGTGTGCTGTTTTCATTACAAGCTTTGCGACTCCTGCTGCGTGTTGTGTGCATTCATGATGTCGTTTTTCCATGTTATCCAACATGACACTGCTATACAGAAGCACCTTCCTTTTACCATCCCCCTTTTTCTGAAACAAAACCCAATTTACCACCCCTGTTGTTGCGGCCTGTGCCAGTTCTGTTTTTAGCTTGATAAACCCCTCCTCCGCCCCTTGGTCCCATACAAGATTAGCAGTGAGATTTCGCATCCCTTTCTTGTTTACCTTCGCACGCAGAACTTGAGTGGGATTCAAATAGCGCTCAATGAATTGTCTACTGAACCCTGTGAGGCCCAAAAACAAAATTTATTTTACGTTTTGTGGACACGGATGATGGAGAATACTGGACCTGTGAGCGGCCGAGAGCCCTGAGCCGCTTTCTGACAGTAGTCCAAACCTGTCTTCTGGCGACCTGCAACTTAGACTTACTGACCTTAAAACCTGTTTTGGCCAACCAGCGTAGGACGGTGTCTGTTGCTTCCAAACAGGATTCTGCTGAAGTGGATGCGAGGAGGATGTCGTCCACATATTGGATCAATGTCGTGCCCTCTGGCAGGAGGCACCCTCTTAACGCTTGTTTCAACACTTGGTTAAAGATACCTGGCGAAAGCGCGAACCCTTGTGGTAGCCGAGTATAACGTAGCTGTTCCCATACGTGAATGAGAACACAACCCGTAAATCTTTGTGTAACAGCTGGCAAAGACCGCGTTCGCCAAATCAATGCAAGTGAACCATTACTGTTGTGGTGTAAGACTAGTCAATGTAGTGTACGGGTTTGGGACAGGTACTGTAGTGGGTACCAGTATGTAATTTATCTTTCTGAGGTCATGTGCCATGCGATATTTACCAGTCCCTGTCTTTTCTACAGGAAGAATGGGCGTGTTCCAGGCGGACTGTGAGGGCTCCAATACACCTGATTTGATGAGGCCCTCAATAGTTTCTTTGATCCCTTATGCAGCGGCTGGCTTGTGAGGGTATTGAGGTTGCCAAATGGGAGGACCGTCATGAACTTCAAACGTCACTGGTTTACATGCATTACAAAAACCTACGTCAGTCGGACCTTCTGACCAGAGGTAGTCTGGAAGTTTCTCAAGAAGGGTTGCTGTGCAGGGATGGTCGGTCTTTTCGCGTCCGTGGTCTCTGGACACCTGTTTGTGTGTTAAAATGACAGAGTTAGTGACTTTCCCTGTAATTCTGTACATTCTAGCAGAGGGAGAAAAACAAACATCCGGCAGCTGTGTGCATACCCAGTCGTCTAGCAGCAGCGCCCGTTTCGTCATTAGACCTAAGTCTTTAGCCTGATGTTTGGGATGCAGAGCCAACGACACATGCGGCACTGCATCTTGATTCATTAAATACCATTTTGATTGCAAATGCAAGAAACACGCAAACGTGTGTTAAAGTGTGTAAAACTAGACTGTTGTAAAAGAAATGCCAATACTGCCTCTTATAAATAACACGAACACCCGTTTGATCGATCTGCAGCGTAAAACAAACAAATACAAATTGACATTTACGTATTAGACATTTTCAAAAAGAAAAGTGAAATATGTTCAGCAATAATATTGGCATGTTGTTAAATTCATCCTCAAAATACAGCTGTTGCTTGTCAGATGCAATCAGACGGACGGTAATAAAACGCCATGATGCGTCACAATGCGTAATGACGCTGATGGCTGATCTCGCGCTCTTAGAAGACGTGGCACATGGAAGGATTCATGCTGTAGCGCAGCGCACCGTCGGCCTGTTTAAGGGCAGATGGCGCTGCCTCGACTGCACTGGAGGGAGGTTGTTGTTTACTCCTGAAAAGGTGTGAAACATCGTGCTGCATGTGCTGTGCTACATGATGTGGCACAGCTTCCAAACGTGCCTCGACCCCCTGACGCCGATGTTGGCCCAGACCCTGTCCCCGATCCCCAATCATTGCCTCCTGTCTCTCATCAAGAGGGGACAGCTCCGGTGTCCCTTTCCCCCCCAGGCACTCTTTGGCGATGGCGCGCTAAACGCTTTTTTGCATCCACTTTGATGTCAGACCATTTTTTCTTTATTTGGGTCCGAGGTTGTGAGGCTGCAGCGTTGCTCTGCAACCTTTTGCTACTCAGGTGCCTTGTTGGCATCAGTGATCCACACTGTGTCCTCCAAAGAGCATCTTACTTCTCCTTCCCACCTCCCAATGATCATTTCCACTTCTCACTGAGTGAAGTTACGATTCTTCGTTTTCCTCTCAGTGTTTGTCATGATTTCGCAAAATTGATGAATATTAATTTGTGGGGGCAATTCCATGACTTTTTTTTTCTTCATCAAGTGTTTTTAGGGCTTGTTTATGGAGAATGTGAATACAATGGCTCCAGGAGACCGGGCCATTTTCAACATTGCTCTCATTGACCGAACATTAATGTGTGTTCTGGTGTTCAATCTGGAAAATCTGTTAAATAAAAAAAATGGTGTATTATTTATGGTTTTAATTTCTTTTTTCTAATGGTGTGAGATATGTTTGTTTAATGGACCGCTTTGGATCGGGGCAAATGGGCTACTTTATCAACGGGTTAAAATTCATGCATTGGGGTCCATTCAGTCACTCCGATTGGCCATGTCTTCATTTTATCAAGACATGATTTAAATCTGTTGAGTCAAGTTGATGTCTGTCCATGTTTTAAAGCAAAATCGTGATGTTTAGTGTGCTCGCTTATTTCATTGTGATGGATGGAATATTGAAGGTGACATGGTGAAAGCAATACTCCTCTTGTTAAGGGTTTTATTTAAAATAATAAGAAATACAAAAATATTTTAATATTTTTTCCCTTCACAACCCAGTCTACCGTACACATTGTTCAACAGTAAAGTTCACCTTGAAAAGCATTTATGGAGATGTATTTCATTAAATAACTGATTGTTCTCTAGGGAGAACCATTTAGTTCATTAAATCCTCAGTTGTAACTTTTCAGATGGGTCTAGAAAAGTTAATGGTAATCATGATCAGCCATTATCGTACGATTCACTACTTGAGTGTATCTATAAATGATCACTTAATTACAGTCATAGTTTCTGTGTCACTCTTGTGAGTTATTCAGAAATCAGAAGTTGCTTCTCTACTTCTTACTTCCTCTGACCTCTGCGCTTCTTACCAAACCAAGAAACAGTCGAAAATTTGCAGCACAAGGCATATGTTTAGCAAGTTAATTGTCAATTTAAATAGCACCAAACTTTTGGACAAGTCCTGCTTGCTTTTCTATGCCTTGTCATTAGACAACTGGGCACATCTAACACAACTTGGTGCCTTTTATAGTTTGGTATTATTAAAGAAATTGCCTGATCGTTCGAATTAGTTTTGGTATTAAATTAAACAGTTTGAGTGCGTTGACTCAAGTATTCATAAATGACTCTGATGCACCGGTGTTACTTGAGGGTGCTGCTTCTGACACATGGTAGATATCTAAAAGATGAGAAAACAATTGTTAACAGCCAATTCAAACAGATGAAAAATTGAATGAATTTAATTTAAAAGAACTACTTCTTTTTCTGCGCAGTCGATTTATCCAGTTTAGTCCACTGTGAGAGGAAAGACCACCACTTGTAGTCTATGGTAAAAAAAAAATGAAAAGATGTCAAATTGAGTGATTGCATAAGAGACTTGATCAGTGTAGATGAAAGTACAACTACGATTCACGAGGAACAAAGGAAACCACCATCATTTAAAAGATGTTATGTAACAGTTTGGGATCTGAAAAAGACTTACCCTTGATGTATGATTTGAGCCTGTGCTTGATGCGGGTGATTTCTTCAACAGAATAGAACGGATCTACGGGCACAATCAAAATCATGTCAAATTTCAGTAATACAGTAATACTTGTTGTCATCAATGGGTTTAGGGGTTCCTGCTATTTATTGCTAAGCTAGTACAAACACAACTATTAACTAGTACCTATAGCCGAATGCCATCTATGTCTTAAAGAAGCAAGTAAGTGCGTATCCTAGCATGTAAAATGATTTTTTTGAAAGCCAACATACCCTTGAATCGAATAGGGTCCCGAACACTAAAATGAAGAAACCCTGAGGAAACACGGATGACATGCACATTTCTTTAGAAACAGAAATATGGAACACAATCTTTTATTACACAAAAATACTGCTACGTAATTATTTAATTACAACTGTGGCAAATACCTGTAGAGAATTGAAGAAGGCAAAGGCAATGTGGATTCCCTTATTTTTTGAGTCTATCATGGTTCCGACTCCTAAAGCCCAGGTCAGTCCGAATAAAGGAGTCAAAATGACCACACACCTTAGAATGACCACCACTGTGTGCCTCTCATCTGCTTGGGCAGCGTCTCCCACACCTCTTCTTAGCATTTTGACCACAACCACGAACACTATTAAAAGGTTGATGGAAACTATGGTCAAGGCAGGTATCACCAACGCCAGCAGGGCATTTGTCTCAAACCAGTTGAGCCAACAGGCATTGTCTTTCCTGATGTATCCATTTCCTGGTGCTGTGACAGCAACAGTAATAACAGCTATAATCAGGGGGCACCCATAGCCTAATACGAAGCCAATCCCCAACATGATTGACTTGGACATGTGGGAGAAGACCATGACCGTCCGGTAGAAGAGCAGTAGGCCTGACACCAGCATCCAAAAGAACAGGGCAAGGTAGAAAAAGTGCATGAAAAATGTTGCTGTGCTGCATGGACCAACTGGTACCAAATGATCACTCTCAGGGTTTTCGAGGGGATTATCTGCAATAGAGGCTCCGATGATGAAACAGATGTTTGCAATCAACAAAGACACGGCACTGTTAACGATGGAAACATGACGCATGAAGGAAGTGCTATTTCTGGTCATGGCTTTCCAAATGTATCCTTCAATTATTAGACATATAACTAGGCTTGCCATAGATATCCCAACACCAACATAGGTGATTACATCCAAGGCAAATCTTATCTCTTCAGGGATGTTGGTTGACATCAGAATTGAGAAGGAGGTGAGATGGTTGCAATTACAGGTTACTGTGTTGTTTATGTCGGAAACAAATTTACAGCCCTCACTGTCCCAAGCGCCACGATTATTAAAAAGTTTAAAGTTCCAAAAGACGCACTGCGGGCCTTGTGACAGCAACTTGTTCAGCTTGCTGTAGCTCAGAGTAACATTTTGAATTGTTTCATTTATTTGAACTAGCACAACAGCAGCGTTGACGGCAATGTCCACAACTCTGCTCTCATTGCCGGTGGTGTCCAAGACGCTGCTGGAGTTATGCCGCACCGGCATAACATTGTTAAGTGTAGGAAAGGTGATGGTGGTTATAAAGACGTTACGAAGGTTGATGTCTGGTATATCTATAAAGATGCTGGAATTCAGATCTGCACTAAAGGAGTTGTTGAATGATGTTCTGTTTAACAGTATCCGTTTAGTCGCCAAGGCCTCCTCCCCGACCAATCCACCAGCGAGCAACTCCATTGAGCCCAGTAAACTTGAGCTTGCATTTTTGGTTTCATTGCCATTCAGAGTTGTCCAAGACTCTCTTGAACCATCACCGACAATGACATCAACTGTTTCAAGTACATCCTGCAGGTAAAGAGAGATTTCATTTTGATGGGGATACATCATAAAAAAGTACACACATAACTCATATTAAGAGGCTACAGAAACGGTTTGACCTACCTCGATAAAGTCTTTACTGACCACCTCGCCAATATGGGCTGCAATGTTCTTTAAGATGTCAACAATAGCAGATATGGTTGCAGGTGAACTCAAAATTTTAGTTTCTTCTTCTTTGACAACTTTGCTTAAATTTGTCGCAAATTCTGCCACTGTTTCTTCATTCAAACGCTAAAAGAATGAAACATTAAAAACAAAATCAAAATTATTCATGACAGATGCAGAGATGTTTTTCTTCTGGCCGCTAGAAACTGCCAGATTGTAGGGCAGGCTAAAAGAATGAGCTGCTATTAAGGATGTCTCGGTTCTTTTGGACCTGATATCAATCCGTCCTTAGGTATCTGCCATCAGATGCCTAATATTTTTTAATTTAGCCATAGCCAGCTGCTGTAGCTGCACCTGTAGCCTGCTGCATCTGACACCTTATTTCTTCATCCAAATTACTGAAGGTACTGAAGCAGAGGTGTAAAAAGTATTCACATTCATTACTCAAGTAGAAGTATAGATACTAGTGTTTAAAAAGACTTCTGTAGAAGCTAAAGTATCAACTCAAGCTCTTTACTTAAGTAAAAGTATAAAAGTACTGGTTTAAAAACTACTTAAAAGTTTAAAAGTAAAATTAATGTAAGATAGTGTAAGGGACAAACTCTTAATGTGTAACCTCGCTCACAGAACATGTCAGTCCATTACATTCGTCTGAAAAATAAATACTCCAGTAATGTATAGATTTCTACATAAGTATACTTCGGTACTTGACACCTCTCTCAGTAAGTAAAATAATCCTATAAATGAACGTTTAACTGGGAGGAAGAGAGACATGGGGATAGACTCAGGTTCCGGTTCTGGACTCAACACAAAATTAATTTCCTCGTAGTAGCTTTAGATTAATATAGTCTCTACTATTTGGTCAGGGCATCGTCAACTGCAAGTCTGATGCTGATAATACCTTCACCACAGTATATGAGACAGACCTCCCATCACAGAAACAATTTATAATAATAGAAACATCAGTTACCAGTTGTCTTACTCTTACATGTGAAATCTTTTCTTTTTTGTCCAAAACTCTTGAACGTGTGATCTTTAACCAACTCTCCTCTTATCTCCACCTTAACAACCTCCTTGACCCCCACCAGTCAGGCTTCAAGGCCGTTCCACAGAGACTGCTCTCCTTGCTGTCTCAGAGCATCTCCACACTGCTAGAGCTGCTCTCTCTCCTCTGTCCTCGTCCTTCTGGACCTCTCTGCTGCATTTGACACAGTCAACCACCAGATCCTTATTTCCTCCCTTCAGGAACTTGGTGTCTCTGGGAGAGAGCAGAGCCTCTGAGAGAGCAGGGTAACCTGGCGAGGATCTGTGTCGGAACCTTGTCCTCTTACTACTGGAGTTCCTCAGGGTTCTGTACTGCGCAGGTCATCCCTTGTCATCTCCCACCTGGACTACTGTAACTCTCTCCTGCAGGTCTCCCTGCTCCCGCCATTTGACCTCTGCAGCTTATCCAGAATGCAGCAGCTCGACTGGTCTTTAACCTTCCTAAGTTCTCCCACACTCCTCCGCTCTCTTCACTGGTACCGGTGGCTCATCCAGTTCTAAACACTGGTGCTCACGTACCATGCTGTGAATGGATGGGGTCCAGCTTACATCCAGGACCTGGTCCAACCCAACATCCCGACCCGCACTCTCCGCTCTGCATCTGATAAACTGCTTGTTCCTCCTCACTGAGAGCAAAACACTCGACTAGATCTCCACTCTTTGCTTTCCTGCTCCTAAATGGATGAAGGAGGTCTCTGAAGACATCAGGACCACAGAGAGCCTTCACATCTTCAGACTAAAGACACACCTCTTCAGACTCTACCTCCTCTGAAACACTAACATACTGTAGTACTTAAATTATACTTATGATGGCTCTTATCTATAGCAAGTTGTAGATCAGCTTATTTAATGAAATTGCACTTTCTTGTTTCTTGTTCTTTTAAAGTTTGTATCCTTATGGATGACATGGACTAATTGTAAGGCACTTTGGATAACAGCCCCAGCTAAATTACGTGTAATATAATGTAATGTGAATCCTCAATGTCATTTAAGCAAAAATTCAACTATGTCAAGGTACTGATTGACCAATTACATAATGGTGATCTGACAAAGATCAAAAGTTGAAGCTACGTATTGGTGAAGTAGCACAATTGATTCCCTACCTCCGATGCAAATAACAACTCTTTGACTCTTGTTACGATGCAGGTGTCCTCGAAAACGGTCCACTTTCTTGACACACACCGCGCCTTCTTGAACCCTTCTAGACCTGCGTCACATTTTATGGTTGATTCGTCGCCGTCTCGTCCATCACCGTACTGAACATCCGTACATGCAACTTCTAAAGAGTAAAATAATCAATTAATGTCACACAATTAGATAGAAAAAAACAAGGAAAGTCTTTTAGTTCTCCGTTCACACCAAAAGCTATTAATAAGAAAATTATTTCCCAGAGTAGATTCAATGCCAAGGACGCTAAAAAGCGTAATATTTAAGAGCGAATGAAACAAATTAGCTCCAAGTAGTCGGGCGCGTAAACCCGAGCAAGTAAAGCATTGCGAAAATTTGCTTCACTTTTGGTGTGAACGCAGCATGAGAGCTGCTCTTACCCTGTGTGAAAACGATAATCTCTGTTTTATCTTCATATGCTAAATTCTGAACTTTACAGGTGAAAAGTGGTCGCTCGCTGCAGCTCTCAAGGCGGTGATCATAGTTGATGCAGCCGCCAATGGCAGAGGAAACTGTGGATGTTTGTCAGTGTTAACGAGATAAACTGTGAACAGTTATATATATATATATATATATATATATATATATATATGTATGTACAGTATGTGTATATATAGGAGTTTTCATTATCATTTGAGGTACCTACCAAGGGCCGAATCTTCTGACCCCCTGAACCAGTTGACGGTATAGGGGGACTGCACACAGCACTCAATGGGTATTACCTGTCCCCCCCCGCCACATTTAACATTGACTCTTCTCTTCAGTCGTATGATGGGAGTTTCTTTGATTTCGTCGTTTGTTACAGCCCTTTTTTGACTGTACGATATGACTCCACCCGTCAGAGTACATTCGTAAAGTCCTGTGATTAAGAGAAACAAATGTCAATGATTACATTTTCTGGCGTAAAATAAATAAACAATGTTAACTGTCAACTGTTTTAAATGTATCTTAGTCTAAACATTTTGACGCTGACACGTTGACATTACTTTCCTAGATGACTGTAGCTACCCTAATTGAAAAGGATAATCTAGCACCCAAGAGTATGTCCAATTAGTGTTGATGGTAAATGTAGTCTTATTGAAGCATTTCCTTAGACATTGATAATCATTTAGTAAATCATGCTCACGTTTTAGAGTAAATAGACCATTACACTGTTGTCAATGTTGATCAATTTAGAACTTTAACCCATGCACAGTATTAGTGTAAAATAGTAAATGGACAGTTCTTCTAAAGCAATTTCCTAGTCTTCCAACCACTAAAAGGTGCTTTAACACTAAATGTCATCATTCACCCATTCACACAAATTCATACTGTGATGTTACCAGCAAGAGTGCCAACTGACAATCATCACTAAACATACATTACTCTATGCTTTATACAAATTGCAAAGTGATTTCATGGTAATTGATTTGTTATTAGTTAACAACTTCAGCAAGCTGAGACTTACCAATATCAAGAAGGGCGACATTGTTAACTGTAAGGGTTGAGGTTGAGCCAGAGAACAATACTTGATTGGTATTAATTTCCTTTCCATTGAATTTCCATTTAGAGCCAGAAATATCTCCTATATTCAGCTCCGGAGAAACCTCACACATCAGCACCATGGTTTGACCGGTGAAAATAGGAAATGGTTTTATGGTCTTTGTGGGGGTTTTACCTTTAGAAAAAAAAAATATATACACATATACATATCACATTGTAATTCAATCAAGGTGAATAAAAATGTAATTACTTTTGTTTTAAAACTTACTGTTAATCAATGCAGTAACTGAGCCAATCACAGGAGCAATAGGCGTTATTGCAGTGATGAGGTTTTTATTTGCTGTTGCCACTTCACCCAGATTGATGTTTGATGTCTGAACAGTAAACTCTGTAATTACGCTCCCTTCTCTGTATGAACAAAGACAAGTCAAGGTCGTGGTGTAAAACTTCATCAACCTAAAAATGTTTTTGACAGCAGAATTTCCATTACCTGAAGCCGGTCACAGAAACTTTAATGAACCCTGTGATACTGCTATACTGGCTAACTAACTGTGGGAGAAATGTGGTTGGTAATATCAATATTGGAACGTAAAGAACTGATAAAACAAGAATCAATTTAATGCGGTGTGATCAATGCACTTACCACTTTATTAATACTTGACTCAAGTGTCTTGTATTCATCACTTAATGGATTGCTTAAATTGCTGTTGAATGTCCTGTCTAATTCGACAGACATTTCCACATTGAGTCCTGTTTGTTTAAAAGAAATGAAATATATGAGCAAAGCTAAGAACAGAAAATGAATACATTTTGTTGTGATTGGGAAAAATTATATATTGTGAAGACTGAAGAGTAAAAGAAACATTTGAGAGCACAGCAAGCTGACTGCTTGAACGCCATGTAAGATAATCAAGGCTGTAAGGTAAGACATCAGTGAGGGGGTGCGGTTTTTTGAGGTATGGAGGATACAGTCGTGGTCTCAGCCAATCCCTGAGCTGGATGGTCCTTACATATGGATGCAAGGACAGAGGACGTGTAAAACTTAGGAGGGCTTTAAGAACAGTATCTCTGTGGGACGATTTTCGGAAGTCGCAGACCTCTAGAGGTATTCCCTTCATAGCTAACTTTAGGGTCTATTCAATCAAATATTATTTATGTGACATTTTGTGACTTCACCTTGGAATTTTTAGAATGGACTATATATTCTGACTTATTCTGGTCTTGTTCTGGCGCTGGGCCTTCCAGAGAGAGAATTTTACATGCGATAAAACCCCAAATTATAGGTAGACAAGAAACCATGACTCACTTTCAAATCTATTTGAATAAAAGGGAGGACCAATGGTATAACCGTTTCTCTCTAAAGAGCTAATAGGTACTTAAAATCGTGAACTTCATTCACAATTAAAGTTGTAACGTAACTGTCAGAATTTAAATGTGTAAGCAAATAATCAATCTGTATTTAATGCTATTTGCTAGATGACTTAACACACAAGTTAGTACACTTAGTACACACAAGTTGACTTAACACATGTTAAATATGGCACACGAAGTGTGTGGCAAAATTAGAGCTTTCTATTTAAACTATGCAAAATATATGCAATGCTTGAACAGTACTTAAATGCCAAATTAAATTGAATGGCCATCAAATATGACATTGGAATAAGGGTGTTTAGGCATCTGATCAAAGCAATGTACTTATCACCAAATGATACAAGTTACATTTGGTGATCATAAACGGATACATAGCAGCATTTTTTACTGCATTGAAGCAAAACCTGTAACGATACCTATCGGGGTGTTGGTGGTGGTAGAAACCGCTGGTGGAGCAGTGATGGTAGTGGTTGGAGCCTTGGTACTTGTGTTTGGAGCTAGAGTAAAATTAACCGTGGATGACGCGTTACATGTGTTGTTTTGGCAAAATGCAGCAAATTAAATTCTGAATACATGAACTCAAAAACAAGTTGCTAAAAAGGTCATAACCAGTCCAACAAATATTACATGAAGTATTTCAGTAAATGTCAACCAGGAAGCGGTTTTCCTATGGGTTATTTCTAAATACCTACTGATAACAAAAGTTGAAGGTGTAGGAACTGTCATATTTGAATGTGCAAAACAAAACATGGTAAAATACTGACTTTTTACATATAATTACATTTACTCAAAGCTGGATTTGTTATTTCTTTGCTAAAACTATTATTTTTCAGACACTTACTCATTGTATTTGTTGTAGGTGTTGTGTTGACGACTGTTGTTGAATCTGAAAGATAATTTATAGGATTAAATATATAACTGCAACCTCAAAAGTAAACAAAAAATTACATCAAGTATTTCAGTAAATGTCAACCAGGAAGCGGTTATCCAATGGGTTATTTCTAAATACCTACTGATAACAAAAGTTGAAGGTGTAGGAACTGTCATATTTGAATGTGCAAAACAAAACATGGTAAAATACTGTCTTTTTACATAACAATTACATTTACTCAAAGCTGGATTTGTTATTTCTTTGCTAAAACTATTATTTTTCAGACACTTACTCGTTGTATTTGTTGTAGGTGTTGTGTCGACGACTATTGTTGAATCTGAAAGATATTTATAAGATTAAATATATAACTGCAATCTTAAAAATAAACAAAATATTACATTAAATATTTCAGTAAATGTCAACCAGGAAGCGGTTTTCCTATGGGTTATTTCTAAATACCTACTGATAACAAAAGTTGAAGGTGTAGGAACTGTCGTATTTGAATGTGCAAAACAAAACATGGTAAAACACTGTCTTTTTACATATAATTACATTTACTCAAGCTGGATTTGTTATTTCTTTGCTAAAACTATTATTTTTCAGACACTTACTCGTTGTAGTTGTTGTAGGTGTTGTGTCGACGACTATTGTTGAATCTGAAAGATAATTTATAAGATTAAATATATAACTGCAATCTTAAAAATAAACAAAATATTACATTAAGTATTTCAGTAAATGTCAACCAGGAAGCGGTTATCCTATTGGTTATTTCTAAATACCTACTGGTAACAAAAGTTGAAGGTGTAGGAACTGTCGTAGTTGAATGTGCAAAACAAAACATGGTAAAACACTGTCTTTTTACGTATAATTACATTTACTCAAGCTGGATTTGTTATTTCTTAGCTAAAACTATTATTTTTCAGACACTTACTCGTTGTATTTGTTGTAGGTGTTGTGTTGACGACTGTTGTTGAATCTAAAGGATGATTCATAAGATTAAATATTAAGAATATTGTAGAAGTATTTCAGTAAATGTCAACCAGGAAGCAGTTATCCTATTGGTTATTTCTAAATACCTACTGGTAACAAAAGTTGAAGGTGTAGGAACTGTCGTAGTTGAATGTGCAAAACAAAACATGGTAAAACACTGTCTTTTTACATATAATTACATTTACTCAAGCTGGATTTCTTATTTCTTTGCTAAAACTATTATTTTTCAGACACTTACTCGTTGTATTTGTTGTAGGTGTTGTGTTGACGACTGTTGTTGAATCTAAAGGATGATTCATAAGATTAAATATTAAGAATATTGTAGAAGTATTCAGTAAATGTCAACCAGGAAGCAGTTATCCTATTGGTTATTTCTAAATACCTACTGGTAACAAAAGTTGAAGGTGTAGGAACTGTCGTAGTTGAATGTGCAAAACAAAACATGGTAAAACACTGTCTTTTTACATATAATTACATTTACTCAAGCTGGATTTCTTATTTCTTTGCTAAAACTATTATTTTTCAGACACTTACTCGTTGTATTTGTTGTAGGTGTTGTGTTGACGACTGTTGTTGAATCTAAAGGATGATTCATAAGATTAAATATTAAGAATATTGTAGAAGTATTTCAGTAAATGTCAACCAGGAAGCAGTTATCCTATTGGTTATTTCTAAATACCTACTGGTAACAAAAGTTGAAGGTGTAGGAACTGTCGTAGTTGAATGTGCAAAACAAAACATGGTAAAACACTGTCTTTTTACATATAATTACATTTACTCAAGCTGGATTTCTTATTTCTTTGCTAAAACTATTATTTTTCAGACACTTACTCGTTGTATTTGTTGTAGGTGTTGTGTTGACGACTGTTGTTGAATCTAAAGGATGATTCATAAGATTAAATATATAACTGCAACCTCAAAAGTAAACAAAATATTACATCAAGTATTTCAGTAAATGTCAACCAGGAAGCGGTTTTCCTATGGGTTATTTCTAAATACCTACTGGTAACAAAAGTTGAAGGTGTAGGAACTGTCGTATTTGAATGTGCAAAACAAAACATGGTAAAACACTGTCTTTTTACATATAATTACATTTACTCAAGCTGGATTTGTTATTTCTTTGCTAAAACTATTTTTCAGACACTTACTCGTTGTATTTGTTGTAGGTGTTGTGTCGACGACTATTGTTGAATCTGAAAGATAATTTATAAGATTAAATATATAACTGCAATCTCAAAAATAAACAAAATATTACATCAAGTATTTCAGTGAATCTCAACCAGCAAGCTGTTATTTCTAAATACCTACTGATAACAAAACGTGGAAGCGTAGGAACTGTTGTTGTTGAATGTGCAAAACAAAACATGGTAAAACCCTGTCCTTTTGACATATAGTTACAATTTCTGCAGGCTGGATTTGTTATTTCTTTGCTAAAACTATTATTTTTCAGACACTTACTCGTTGTATTTGTTGTAGGTGTTGTGTTGACGACTGTTGTTGAATCTGAAGGATGATTCATAAGATTAAATATTAAGAATATTGTAGAAGTATTTCAGTAAATGTCAACCAGGAACCAGTTATCCTATTGGTTATTTCTAAATACCTACTGGTAACAAAAGTTGAAGGTGTAGGAACTGTCGTAGTTGAATGTGCAAAACAAAACATGGTAAAACACTGTCTTTTTACATATAATTACATTTACTCAAGCTGGATTTGTTATTTCTTTGCTAAAACTATTATTTTTCAGACACTTACTCGTTGTATTTGTTGTAGGTGTTGTGTTGACGACTGTTGTTGAATCTAAAGGATGATTCATAAGATTAAATATTAAGAATATTGTAGAAGTATTTCAGTAAATATCAACCAGGAAGCAGTTATCCTATTGGTTATTTCTAAATACCTACTGGTAACAAAAGTTGAAGGTGTAGGAACTGTCGTAGTTGAATGTGCAAAACAAAACATGGTAAAACACTGTCTTTTTACATATAATTACATTTACTCAAGCTGGATTTCTTATTTCTTTGCTAAAACTATTATTTTTCAGACACTTACTCGTTGTATTTGTTGTAGGTGTTGTGTCGACGACTATTGTTGAATCTAAAAGATAATTTATAAGATTAAATATATAACTGCAACCTCAAAAGTAAACAAAATATTACATCAAGTATTTCAGTAAATGTCAACCAGGAAGCGGTTTTCCTATGGGTTATTTCTAAATACCTACTGGTAACAAAAGTTGAAGGTGTAGGAACTGTCGTATTTGAATGTGCAAAACAAAACATGGTAAAACACTGTCTTTTTACATATAATTACATTTACTCAAGCTGGATTTGTTATTTCTTTGCTAAAACTATTTTTCAGACACTTACTCGTTGTATTTGTTGTAGGTGTTGTGTCGACGACTATTGTTGAATCTGAAAGATAATTTATAAGATTAAATATTTAACTGCAATCTCAAAAATAAACAAAATATTACATCAAGTATTTCAGTGAATCTCAACCAGGAAGCTGTTATTTCTAAATACCTACTGATAACAAAACTTGAAGGCGTAGGAACTGTTGTTGTTGAATGTGCAAAACAAAACATGGTAAAACACTGTCTTTTTACATATAGTTACAATTACTGCAGGCTGGATTTGTTATTTCTTTGCTAAAACTCTTATTTTTCAGATACTTACTCGTTGTATTTGTTGTATGTGTTGTGTTGACGACTGTTGTTGAATCTGAAGGATGATTCATAAGATTAAATATTAAGAATATTGTAGAAGTATTTAAGTAAATGTCAACCAGGAAGCAGTTATCCTATTGGTTATTTCTGAATACCTACTGGTAACAAAAGTTGAAGGTGTAGGAACTATATTAATATAATATACTATAATATTTTATAATAATATAAAAACTTTTAAAGTATAAAACAGTATGAAAACTGTCAGAAAAGTAGAAAACACACACATTTTTTCAGTTTTTCAATTGTAAAATTCAGCAAATTATCTATAATAACAGTTAATGAATCTGAAAAGAAATTCTAAGACATGTCCTATTTGTAAATGCTTTTATATATTGAGTTAAATACTATCTTAAACAGTCTTACTTGTTAGGTTTGGAGTTTTTGTTGTATTGGGACAGAAGATTGTGCTGAATCGATACAAATACATACTGACATGTCCAAGGTTACTACTGTATTTAAAAGTTGCACAGATTGTTTGAAGGTACAACATCACAACATTTTGATATTACACTTGAAAAAGGCACACATCTTTATTTTTGCCACCCAATTCATATTCTGGAAAAGTGTGTGCATTAAAATTGCTGACAATTTCATCACATTTTAGGATATTTAATACATTTAAAAACCAGCCATTTAGATGAAATATAAGCTTGATCATAATTTGTTGCAGTTTTTGCTTTTATTTAGTTAGTTATTTAGTTATCTATTCATTGTCTTCCACTTGTCCAGGGCTAGGAAGGCCTCTCCCCAGCAAGAATATACAGCTCTTTCTGGGGAAACCACAAATGCGATCCATAGTCTTTACAGTGTATTCTAACCAGGAGCCTATTACCAGTTGTCCTTGCATAAATTGCCAAGATAAATCCAGGAACAGGAGAAAGGAGGACTCAAACGCAGAAACCATAACTAACGAAGACCACAAGCTGGCTTGGGGCAAACAGGGACCAAGATACAAGGCCAGCAAAACTATCCAAAACGAGTCCCCAATATTGACTAACGAACTGACAAGGAGACAAGGGACACATATCGGCTGGATTCGAATAGTCAAAATAAAAACTCCTAACGTCTGTTCCTAGTTGCCAACCGTCCCTTAAAATACGGAATCGTCCCGTAATAAAATAACGCGTCCCGTTTTGAATCGAACAGGACAGGGTTTGTTTCGTATATTCCGAGCTGTCGTCACTGCAGCATCCTATTCGGCCCTGTATTGGGTCATACTGCCATCATTGGTTTGATTGGCCATGAACCTGAAATAAACCAATCAGAGTCAGAGGAGGGCGGGACTTGAGTGTCGATTTGAAAGAATGGCGGAGGTAGCGTCCCTCCTCCCGTCGGCTGTATCATCCCTTATTTTTCTGTACTAAAGGTGGCAACCCTACTGACTACTTTTCCTCTGTGAAAAACATTACAGGGTCAAGTAGAGGTCAAATTCACCTTCCCAGATCTGCTCTAGCCAGCGTGCATCTCTTCTACAAGGCCATCAGACATGCAGGCGTGGGGGTCGGTCATGATTGTTAGTTCTCGTTAACAGCCAAATGATCCGTCACTACTTAAATATTGCTGCCGCAAGGAATTGTGGGACGTAATGATCTCCTTTCCTTTCGTAAAGGATGGTCCAGTACTCCCTATGCTAAAGGGGCTAAATGAGGAAGTATTGAAGCTACTTTTGAATTGACCATGTCATTGATCTACTGTAGTAGTACGAGTAGTACGAGTAGTAGCGGTAACCAAGCTTTCATTTCCTCATTCATTCATTCACTCTGTATCAGGTGGATTTTAGCAGCAGCGGCAAGCAACTAGAATGGTACTTACTGAGGGAACAGTTTTGATGTGAGAGAAGTTGGAATGTGGACATTATTCTTCAGCACCGGCCCGTCTATGTGTTTTATTGAAAGTACTATTCTTATTAACAAAAAGTTAAAAAAGGGTTTCTGCATTGAGACACAGAGCTGGCAGTGACTTACTGTGCTGATCAGCAGACTGGCAGTGTTGTCCATCAGGGGGAATGCCACTGATGCATCCACACGTGTCGTCGGTGATGTTGTCACAGGATCCGTATTTGAAGCACTGGTCACATGACCAACGATACTGGTCCTCACATCTGCACTGGTAACCAGCGCTGCTCGGATAGCAAACTGGAAACCATCATATATGTTGAGTAAAAGATTAAACCTTGAATTCAATGTGTAACATATTTAAGTACATCACCAGTTGGATGAAGGGTTATATATGCCATGTTAACACATTACACTTCAAAAGGCATTATTCTCACCTGTAGAAATATTTAAGTCAGAGACTAGAATGGTGTCGGTAATGCTGATCGGGTAACTGATGCTCCTCAGTAGGTCTATGACACCAACATCTGTGGTGTTCAGCTCAATAGAAACCAGGTAATCATAGACAACTGGAGGGGCTGTAGAGACACAGAAAAGCATTACGTTCCATTATTTCTGATCCGTGCTGTGATTATTAGGACTTCTGTGTCTTCAGTCTGTTTGCATCAGCTGTTTTGATGCTCAAGAATAAACACATTCATCTTTTTGTCAAGATTTCTCCAGATGCCCAGTCTAACATTAAGCCAATATATACAATCAGCAAAGAGCAATTGCTGAAATGATATGAGGCCTAGGATTATAGCTAGCCGGCACAAAAAGATTATTCTATTACAATACATAAAGATGTATTTTCCCATTTGTTTATGTCCATAATCTTTGCGTAAAAAGACTCGACCCAAAACATCAAGATTCAGCTGATATGTAAAAGAATCACCTGTCTGTGGCTGGCAGTACTGCCCGTTGGTAGGAAGCCTGTTGATGCAACCACATGTCCCTCCAATGATGTCGTCACAGGCTCCGTATGTGAGACAGTTGTCATATGACCAAACATACTGTTGCTCACACCTGCACTGGAAGTTTGTACCATTTAGGGAACACACTAAAGGAAACAAGAGAAAGGTAAGTAAAAGTGTTAAACTGCATGCATCAGACATTTCATTTTGTTGAGAGCTACGAGGAACATGGGAACCTTTTGCATTTATTATCCAGAGGTCGTCTACTCTGTTTGGTCTCTGGGGACTGCGGATTTGACATTGTGTAACTTTGATATGTGTGTTTGTGCGCAGGCCTTGATGGTTCCATTATTTTGTTTTTGTTGTTGACTATTTCAAAACAAAATGAGGACATATGTGTTGTTTATTAAATATTTGTGTCCAAACCCCTCCAAAAAGGAGATAAGACTCTTTTTCCAGAAAAGAGGTTTAATAAACTCTATAATGCAGTATCAATGCAATGCGATACCTTTCCTGCTAATCTGCAGTCTCAATATGTGGAAAACACACTTTCAGGTTCAACCTACGTAATTCAAAACAAAAAGATAATAATATAAAATATGCTACCAAAGTACTTTACTAGGTTTAATAATCAAAGTAAACTTAAAATAAACATTTCAGTAACATTTGTTACTGCATTACTACAAAGGAGAGCCAAGGGCGTTCCTGGATGGCACTTTAACTAGAAAGGACCACGCCATCCACTGAAGGCGTTTGTCATGAGCGAACATGTAATTGAATGATTTTGTCTGGTTGGTTGGATGGGTTGTGGGGAACTACGTCGGGGGATCCGTCGTGCGCCCTGTGGCACGGCGAACCCCCAAAAGACTGCCATTACGTGAGGTGTGATTGAGCGACTTGAAGGTCTTTTAAGATCCAGACAGATGCAGCGATGATGGGCTTGTGAGGACCAGGCCCATGATTTGGATGGGATGAGGGTGGACGGGCATCCCGGTGCCTTGTTGCTTTACGTTCTTGACAGTGTTAGGTTGTGGTTTGCATTACGTTCTGCGTCGTTTGTGCTAAGTTGCTATGCTACGTTACCTTGTGTCTTTTCTTGTTGAGTAACATTCTCGAGTTGCCTTGTTAGGTTATCTTGTTGTGTTACATTTTTACATGTAGTTGCTGAAGATTAACGTTAGCTGTGAGTTGGTGTCCCGGTGTTGGTAGCTCTGACTCGTGGCCACGCATGGTGCCACTGGGAAGTGTGAAGGTCTGGCATCTTGGTGCCAGAGGTTACGCCGAGCAGCTGGGTGGCTTGGAGGAGATGGTGGGGGGGCCCGGCATCTCGCTGCGTTGAGCCTCGGCTACGGCTTGTGTTGCTGAGTTGCTGCGATATGTTGCTGCGTCGTTAAGCTGAGTCAATGCGTTCCTTGTTGAGTAACTTTCTTGAGGTACAGTTAGGTTACAATCTTAGTGTTGCATTGTGTAAATACTAAAGATCAACTGGGAGGCGTGAAGGCTTGGCATCCCGGTGCAACTGGGAAGGTTTCTCTTTTCTGCTACATTATTGTGTAAATGCTGAGGATTATCGCTGTGGGCCGGCATCTCGGTGCTAGTGGCTCCAACTAGCATGGGTGGCTACGAATGGTGTGACTGGAAGGCATAAAGGTCTATCCCGATGGAAACGCCTGGCAGTGGGGGTCTGGAAGAATGTGGTGAGTATGCTGGCATCCCGGTGCCGTGCACCGGCTAAACTGGCTGGGGAGGTTGAGGATTGTAGCTGTGAGCTGGCGTCCTGGTGCTGGTAGCTCCAAACGGCGTGGGTGGTAGTGGTGATTTCCATTTGGTGTTGCAATGCACTATGGGAAGTGCTGGGGGCAGTGTTGCCTCCATGTTTAACTGCAACCAAGGCGAGGAAGAATAATGTTTTTTGAACAATCATGGTGAAAAAGAGCGTGAGCGGGCCAAACATCTGGGGGTATTTCATCATTAAGCCACGCGAAACACTACAAGGTTGCATCTGCAAGACGGGGGGCAATCCGGTGCCATGAGCTGCTACTGCTGGGTGACTTGTATCTTTAACTCAACACGTTTTGACGTGTTTTTTTGCGTGACGTTAAATGATTTAAGAGATTAACTCTTGTGTCTGATCTATTGAAAGAGAATCCTTTTTCCATTACTGTTTCTTTGCGGGGTTACAACGCTCCGGTCCGGAGATTGATGAAGGCTGGATTTTGGGGGGGTCGGCCGTAGCGTGGTGATGGAGCTTCCGGTTAACTTTACGTGTCGTAAGCCTGGAATAGTCGGGGGAGGCTGGCTTACTCTACTCGGTTGCTTCTGGGGGAAAGCGGCATCTGGATCACGGAGGCAATGTTAGGATCTCGTGGAATACTGGAAACTTCAACTGGAAGTGGTTCGTGCTGGTCTTTCCTGGAGAGAATGTTGTTATCGTCTGAAGGGGAAGGTGCGATGGCATCTCGGTGCCGCAGGTTAGATGACGTAAAGTAGGTAAGGTGTTCGTATGAACAGGAAGAGCGGGTTGGGCTGTATTTATAGGAATGCCGGATGGGGGGTGGTAGAGGCGTGGTCCTGCTCCTGAAATATGCTAATTAGCTTCAAATATTATTAACAATAACTAATAAATAAAATCGCTATTAGAGAAATCCATCTCAAACGGAATCAAACACCCTGTTTGAATGGTACACAACACACGTTACCACACACAAATGACACAAAAGTCTGCCTCGATCGGTGTATCAGATGAAGCTCCATTCTCACCTGTGGTGATGTTAATGTGAGTGACGTTGACAATGGGACCCAAGCTCAGGAGTTCAGGGCCGTGCTGCAGGAGGATCCTCAGCTGGTCCACTATCTGAATGTCTGAAACGTTCAGCTCCACGTCCACTGTGTACTCAACCGGAGTTAGCAGCGCTGTAGGAACAGCACATTTACGGTCTCATTGTTCATTTCAAGGACAAATATCAATTGGGCTAAAATTCTACAATCACGCATTGTGCAGTACATGGGGGTGACATTCTTCTAAAGTGGAACTCAAATTGAATTGGCATTAGTTTTATCCATACGTAAAGATTAACTAGAGGGAGGATAAATGAGTGATTGGCAACAACTGGACCAATCAAATTTGACTACTGTATGCACATTCTTAGTCAAGGACAGCCTCTATTATGGTTCACGACTTGATTACCTGACATCAGCTGGCAGGACTGGCCATCGTCCGGAATGCGGTCGATGCATTTACAGATACCTCCGGATATTTCACCACAGGCTCCATACTTGACACAACTGCTGTACGGCCAAGCAAAGTTTTCCTCACATCTGCACTGGAAGCCAGCTTCTCTTGGGGAGCACACTGTTTGAGCAGATTTAGTGTGTATACTATTAAGCTTGGTAGGATGTTTGTCTTTGAATGTTTCATAGAAGGCCGAAGCCTGAGGCTCAAGCTACTCACCTGTTGTGACAATAATCTCAGAGATCTCTGTGCTGTTATCAAGTACTATGGGGAAACTGGTATTCGCCTGAAGCAGCTGGAATGTTTGTAGATCAGGGGCCGTCACAACGACATCAATAAGGTAATCCCATTGGTTCGTTGGTACTGCAAGTATTTACATGAGAGAATGTTGGCGGCCATGCATGCATGATGAACAAGGTATTCAGTCGTGTTGGTTTTCTTGTTGTCAGTGAGAAGATTGACACTCTTTCACTTTCATGCCAGTACATTGTAGTGTTACAGCCTAGAAACAATTTGCCCAGTTTAGCAAAACTGACTAATTCATTCCATTCCATTTCTATACAGCTTATCCATAGAGGGTGGGTGCTGGGGTCAATCCCAGCTGCCGTTGGGACGGGTTACACCCTAAACTGGCCTTCAGTCGGTCTTATTCACATGCGTGTAACTTGATTGACCAATGAACCCAACCTGCATTACTTTGGACTGTGGGAGACAGACGGAGAGAAACCACGCAAACATGCAAACTGCACGCAGAAGTGACCTGGGACCTTCCTGCTGCGAGGCGACAGTGCCGCCCGTCGGCTAGTTAACATGCCAAGTTAACTTATAAAGACAGAAACCACGATGCGGTAATGAAGGATTGTTTCCTCCTGGACTTTTTCTTTGTTGAACTGATCAACGTGAATTCCTTGAAATGTCGTCACAACAGCAACAAAAAGACCCTTCAGGTCAGCTGTTTTTCCCCAACTTAAAAATGAATGTTAAAAGCGAACCAATCTCATGGCTGTGTCTTCATATGTTGGGACAAATCTTCACATCTGACTTTGACTTATAAAGCAAATCAGCATATTTCCCAATATAGAAATCCTATTCAATCGTATTCTTTAATGGGACTCACCGCTCCTTTTCTCCCTGACGGGAGATACAGAGTGTTCTTCTTCACTGTGCACCTGGAGGCACAGAGGACACCGCCACACAGTGGCTTTGTGTTATTAATCAAAACCTCAGTTTCCACGTTTTCCCTTCAGCAGTGGACCTACCTGTAAGACGGGACCTGAGAAGCACCTTGTTTCCAAAATAATATTTGTCAGCAGAAGGGCGGTGGTGATCATGACCATGATCACATGACTGGGTATTGCCATTCCTTTAAAGACGGGTTGGAAAGAACAGAAAATAAAAACACAAAGTTTCATTGAGCTTCAGCACGGCCCTTCCTGTCATTCCTGACTGCCCATGTCTATAAGGCATCATAAGGATATTTTACTTACTTACTCACTTTATAGTGCTTTTTATTATTGCAGTAATACAGTGTAGTGCATGGCCATCTGTCGCACTCTGAGATCTGTTGGTGAAGAGTTCGTTATAAATATATGTATTATTGTTATTAGTGTAGTTGCTACACTAATAAATAAAAAAAACATTAAAAAATACTTTATGGCTTTATTTATTTTTCTGCAACAATGCGAAAGTTGTAATACCTCTTTTTTCATAATAATACATAATGCATTTGTATGCATTTTAATCTAATCATAAGACACTGTAAGTGTTCATTGTTTGCTTTAAGTAAAGTGAAAGAAAAACATCATCTAATGTAAAACGGATAACTAAGGATAAGGAAAAGGGATAAGTATCTTTGGTGAACCCAGTCAGCAGTGACTCACGCCGAAACCTACTTGTGCTCTCGAGGGTAACTGAAAATCGTATTTCTTTATCTGGAGACAATAAGCACACAATCTTCATTGTTTGAATCTAAACCCACCTTGAATGACTTGTCCTCTTTTACGTTGTCTTTAACTTTGCTCAACAGATATTCTTCCACATGTTGGCCGTGGCTCAATAAGATCTAGTGGGGCTAGATGAAACAAGGCAAAAGATTTAGTAGTTTAGGATGCAGAATGGTACTGAGTCAGATGATTACATTGATGATGCTTCAAAGAATCCCATCATATATTTTTATCTTTTTTGTTGATTGAACAGGATATAAAAAATGGAAATGCTGTGCATTACTGACACCAGTGGTATTTAGAAAAGTCAGGCAGCTGCTAAAGCCCCTATTATGATTGCCACTTTAATGGAAAGATGAAAGATGATCCATAGTTCTGCAATTGACAGGGAACAAAGACACAAGGTTTTGACAGCAGGAAAGGTATGGGTATATAATGGGTATATAATAGGTTGGCTCTCAGGTTCAAACATCTCCTTTGTTAAGTACTGCACCGAACAAAGGAGATGTTGAATTCACGTACTTCAGAACTATGTGAATCAAAAGTCATGAATCTCAAGAAATCCTGCATTCAACATCCATCAATAACGTTTAACGTTATGGTTTAACTGGTTCAACTAAGTAACAGTTAGTGGAAGTCAATCAACAGGGCTTTATTCTATTTTCCGGCCTTCTTCAACACAGCAAAATGTTCCATAATAAATGATATTAGAGTCAAAAGGACCATAAAGCATGGTATCCTTTTGTCCGGCTTCTGATCTGAACAAAACAAAATGCAGTAAAAGATGCTCTAGTTTCATTTCACAAGTTGGCCTTTGATGCGTCCTGCTGCCGAGGTATATAAAGCCAGGACTGTGTCCAGAATCACTTCCTTGTTCCCTCGTTCACTATTCACTCTATGATAGATGCTGGATGCTTAACTCCATAGAAAGCAGCCAATTCCAATGTTGTACCTTTTTCGTGTCATTTTTTAAGTTAAAGCATCTGTGACTTTAACTTAACATTTTCCGCAGATAAATTTGATTCCTGAGTAAGGAAAGGGCCCTCAAAGACTATAATACCAACAACAACTGACCAATGTATGGCGGGGGTGTGTAATACATACAGAAACAATAGACCGCTCCAGTTAAACCCACTTGTTAGCACACGGACCCTTATGGAGGAGATACACATACACAGCGACAGTTTGTTGAAAAAGGTTTGTGGCAAAATATTTCTACACAATCACTTTGAAAAGCTGATCCGTTAAAGTCCCAACAAATTTTCTACAGAAATGTAAACGTAGCTCCTTACCATCCTCTCTGGCGCCTATTTGTATGTATCCAAACAAATATTATTACAGAAGCCAGCAGAGTCGTGTGGCGGCTTCAGCAGGCAAGTGCCGGTATGTGGAACATGCTACGCAGGTCATTTCCTGAAATATAACACGAGACAGAGTGGCTCAACAGGTTTAATGATCTCCTCAGCAACCTCGACTTCATCAGCACTTGATCTTCAAACCTGTGTGTGTTTGTGAATTGACAAAAGATAAAAGATAGATTTTTTTCAGATCTTACGTATTCTTGACGTGAACTTAGCAGGATATTCAACACATTTAAGGGATAGGATGATAACACTACTCTGAGCCACTGGAAATAAATACCAGTGGCTCAGGGGTCCAAACAGTGGCAGCTACATTTCATCTTAGGTAAAAAAAAAAAAATTCACAAGCCGAGCCACACGGCCGCATCTCAGCAATGCATGTCAAACTGGAACGAATGTGCAAGCCTGGGAAAGCACGTCTGGAGACAGAAGCTATAGACGCTGCCGAACAGCAAACCTCTGTTGTTGTTTGGGAGCTTCAGGTGGAGCAGCAATTTCCAACCTGTTACACGTGATACATGGAGCTCAGGATGGAGTACTTGGCAAACTGCTTTATTTGAATTTTATTGCTGGAATATTGCTGGAATGTTTAAGGTCTGTTGGACTGACTGTTTGTATGGCAAAGAGAAGTGTTTTCTCTTTTCAACGTGGAATTGGTCCGCTGAGCGTCACTCCCTTGGCATCAGATAATAATACTCTGAGACGCACCACGCTTTAAACAACTCCATTGACCATGGAGATTAGACGCAAAGCACTGGACGTGGTATTGAGAGGAGAGATGTCCACGGTGGGGGGCAGGTGGATTGGTAAGGAGACGGACCAGTCCAGACCAGATGTTTATGGTCGTCACGAACCTGATCCAATCGGTTCTTGTTGTTCCAACTCAGAACTGGTTCTGGCTACCCAACCCTTGTTGATGTGTTTGTCTGCAGCATCAGCACTGCCAGGAAGTGAGAGTCCTGGTCACACCCATTTTTGCACCTTTCCAAGCCCTAGGCTAAAAAATAAATGTCAATCTCAATCTATCACAGACTGGATGGAAGTTTGAAAGTATATAATTATGTTCTTTTCATTCATGATGGTCCATTTAGAGTCAAATAGAACATATAGCAGAGTATGCTTTGGGGGCATTAACTACTGATTGACAGGTCACAATTAAGACTTTGTCCAGTCTGGCAGTTGTTTTATTTTAACTTTCAGTTCATTAAACATTTTAATTAGTTTTTGTTTGTACCTAGCTGTACCCTCTTTGCTAACTTGTGTCTAACAAAAACACCGATTACAATGGTAAACAGCTGAAGATGTCGATGGCCAAAACACAACTTTTCTTTTGCCCTAAAGGGTTGGAGATGTGATCCCTGAAGACCCGAATGTCAGTATGCTACCTTCAGGGCCACACCGTTCCACAAGCTCACTTACCATTTGTTTCAAGTTTGTTAGGTGATATTTGTAGTGTACGTGTTTAGTTGGTTTTTAACCATAGTTCACGCTTTCCACGGTTCAAGTTACTGTGAGGTCACCTCATGTGGCATAATATGGCATAATTGAAGTGCAAAATGTACAGTGGCTGGGTGGACTCTCCTTGGGTTGAGGGGGGGGTAAGCTCACTGGCGAGGTGTGGGGGACGAGAGGCTGTCACCGTGGTGCAGAGCTCAGCAGGGTGACAGCAGCAGGAAGAAGCTGTCGGAAACTGCTGGTCCAATCTTCACTAGGGTTGAGGGTCCAAGAGAGACACCCAGGAACTTAAAGCTAGCAACACGCAAGTCTTCTTGGGTGTAACGTATTGTTTTTGACGTTCTGTACGTATCATCACTTTGTCACTTGTCACTTTGTCTCTTGTCTGTTACTTGTTTGTTAGTGCACTTTATGCTTAATACTTTTCTTTTTAATATTTAAAATTTGTTTAACTTTATTCCCTTGTTTTTTTACTAACCCATAGCCTTAGCCTTATTCTTACTAACCCATTGCATTAGCATTTCACTCCACTTTATTTTATTACCTGTGCACTGTTGTCTTGTCTGTCTACTGTCGCGCACTAACCGCCAAGACAAATTCCTTGTATGTTTGACATATTTTGGCCAATAAATGTTTCCTGATTCCTGATTCCTGATTCCTGATTTTTAGTCGGAAGCCTCTGAGCCTTGGCTGGCTGAACTACTGCTCTCTGCACGCACTCGCTTTAGGTACCCTGGGAGGTGCCGGTGATGAAAAAGAATCAAGGACACAGGCAGAAAATCACAAGGGAGACAAAACACAGCAGGGGGGGGGGTATTATTTTAGTAAAGTAACAGTTCTATCTGCTGTTGTGCTCCCTATGGTTTCCATTCACACATCAGGTTATCTGGATGTCCTGGGTGAGGGTGTAATGGTAATGGTTGGTAATGGTTGTCTTGTGGTTGGATCGCTCTGTCTCTGCATACCATCTTGAAGCGATACCCATTGTCATCAAGATGTGAGCTGACAGCCAGGCCTGCTGAGAAAATGTGCCCCAGCTCCAAACACCAGTAGAACTGGTTGTCCCTCTTGTTGATGCATTGTTGCATAAGTTGCATTTCAAGGAACTGGGGAGACGTTAGAGACTAAATAATTACCAAAGCCTTCAAAGGTGCGAATAGTAGAAAAAAGTATAAAATTACTGTATGAATAATTTGCTATTGAAAGTTGTTTTTGTATGTACGTGTGCAAGTAAAAAAAAGAGTGAATCACTGAGTGTGTAAAGGAATGGGAAATGTTTGCATTAATGTGTTGGGACTAGAATCAAGGAAAGAATAAAATAATAAATAGAAAGAAAAGTAGGCTGGACATTATGTCTGAGTACCTTCCATTTAGCTGCAGCTCGCGCCACGTACACAGACACACAGAACTTTGATAGATATTAGAAACAACCAGGTAGTGCACATACAAGAGGACGCGTTCTTGTTCTTGAATATCCACTTGCCAATGCAGTGTTTAATATTAAACACGGGATTCTTTTTACCATGAGGCCGATCTTTGACACCTCCAGTGTTGTTTTGGTTTTGTTGACTAAACTTTAGTGACTAAAAGTTATTAAAATCCAACCGAACGCCAGAAACATAATAGTATTTTTTGCTACAGTGCAGTATGCACAAAGCCACTAAGGTAGTAAAATAATAGCTTTGGCCAAATTGCCGACCCACTCTCGTTTTATCCTCGGGATCGAGTTTGTATCCCATACAACAATCTGAATGAGTGACAACCACACGCAGCTATGACAAATGCTTTGAGCTTTAATTGGTTGAATTTAAGAGGTTACATAGTAGTAAACATAGTGGTTACACAGTTAATGAAATCCTCCACTCGAGCCACATGTGCGTTTCAAACCGTACCATCATTCTGTCAGACTTCAGAAAATAACATTTAAAGTCCCCACAGCCTTGTGGAGGGCAAGCGCACACATTCTCATCCCCATCCTCATTGCCAACATCCCAGAAACCACAGCAACGCACACTTCCTTTTCCTTCCCGCTGTCTGGAATACTTGAAATAGTCACTGGTTTGGGGTTAACACCCCCTGCTTTCAGGCCCAGCGGTGACAGTTCACATCTAGACCCACGGTAGCTTCCATAGTAAGTGGCTTGGTCAGAACAGAGTCCATCCTCTGCTGCTCTCATGGCGCCTGATAATCCCTCGCCAAACGTTCATGAGGTTTTTTTATGGTGCTTTTCAGTTTTATTAGATACTTTAAGAGCTTGGAACTTGGAAGGAACTGAAAGAGCACAATATTTCTATCTCTCTTCAATCAAGTAGACTTCAGGTATGGAGTAATGCATAACTTACATTCCGGCCAGTTCATCATCATCAAGCGGGGGAGGGGGCAGATATGAACAGATACAATGAAGTCAAAATGATAGCAAAGAGGTGCTAAAATAAGGTTATCAGACTGAATGTAGAAAAAAAGTTGACAAAATATAATTTTAGTCAACAGCATTTCAGAATAAAAGACATGGAGGGAAAATACAGTCAGCCTCTCCTCTAAAAAAATAGAATTAGTGCATCATTGTTAGATTTTGATATGCACCACATAGAGCATGACGCCACATATCACCGCATGAAGAAACAATCACTTGGAAACACTCAGACAGCCATACATGAAGCTCCGCAAACGTGCCAAGAACCCTTTAGCAACGGTACACTTGTTGAGGCGAATGGGGGCAGCTAGCAGACATCTGGTGGACGTGTCGGTTCCGTCCAACAACACAGAGCTTTAGATAGTTGGCTTTGGTTCCAAAGGAACAAAGATGGTGGCTGAAAACACAACTTCCTGTTCTTTGTTGATAGTTTTTGACCCTTTTTAGAGCATATTACTCTATTAATGTGATATCGTGTTACTTAGACATTTAATCCAGTATTTTTTCTAAATATGGCTTTGGTTCCAGAGCAGCAGGTCAGCCGTCTAATCTGACACTGCCCCCTGCTGGTCTGGTAGGTTACCAGCATAAATGACCCACAGACCCTCCACCTCAAAGTAAATGCAAAGGAGGGTGGTGAGAAAAGGAACCATCTCCTCAAAGTCGTGCCGGGCTAAATATCTGCCTCCTAAACCTTTCAAAGCCCTAATAATAATACTGGTGCCATTTAGAGTTATAGTTTATTTACTGTGTGTGTGTAGTCTCCTTTATTGCAATCATTTAGCAATAGCCACAAACTTATTTTTATGGTGGGGTTTTACGCTGAAATCATGTTGAATACAGGGGAAGCCAGGACGATTGGTACGACCCCAACCCCATAAAGGCATTGGCCAGTTGAGATGTATTAACAAAGTTTGGAAGCTCTGAAGCCTCATGAAATACTCATAATACCAGCAGGCTGGTAACGTAGTACATGGGTACGTCCCGGTGTGACACGTGTGTGTTTAATTACATCGCGTTGACCCTGTATCCTGGTGAGTGGAGGTGTTCTAAACAAAGAGGAACTCTAAACTAACGAGTAAAGTCAAGATGTGAAATAGATCACCATCTCACCTAAAACACCAAGCTCCAATCATGTGACTGTCAAATGTCTCCATCAGACCGCAGTTATCCCTCCCACAGAGACCCTTGTTCTGGTCCAGTGGATTTCTTCTTCCCTCCTTGCACTATAACAGGTCAGGGAGGTGGCTGTAGACGGAGTCCAGCAGTGTCTGACTGGCCTCTTGACTTTTGACCCCGGCGATCTCAAACAGCTGGTCCAGCCGATCCTCGGCAGCTGGGATCTCCTCGATGACGTGCAGCTCCTCCGGGTTCAGGATGTGCAGCATGTCGTCAAAGATGGGCTGCAGGTCACACGGGTCCAGACGAACCTGTCGGAGCACGGTGTCTTTCTTCTCTGGAGAGGAAACAGACAGGGTGCCGTTATTGGGATTGAAGCTATTCTAATCAATATATTTAGAATAGTAACAGATGAAATGACTACGGGAAAGGGTGTTCCTTTGTGTCAATGAACCGAGGTCGATTCTGTACTCTACCTCAGCTGCACAAAGCATTTAAGCATCAGATCATCACTTGATTTCCCTGTTTTGGATAACTGCCAGCTAGCAAATAGTAAGGAAACACATTAATACTCCATCATGAATTTTAGCAGTTGACAGTAAGTAATAGTACTCAATAAAAAAAACTATTATAACCCTAGTAATACAATCATGGGTCCCAATAATCCGCAATTCTATCAAGTCTACAGGGATCTTCATGGTAAATCTTGAACAGACATCGCATAAATCCTGACAATCAACTGCAGTTTTGTTTGATGAAATAATAAAATACAGCACTATTGCTGATAAAAAGTGATACTCAAAGTGACCACATGAGGGGAGTCTTAAACTGCCGTTTTATTTGTGAGTGTAATCAGTGTCCCAGTTATGAGTGTGAAGTTGTGAGTGTGTGACGCTCACACAAGCCACTGCGAGCCAACGGGAGTCACTCCTCTGATAACCATCGGATGTTTCGGCTTGTGTGGTACAAAGAATTGTGGGACATCTGCAGTTTGTCCAAACACAAAACACTATAACCCATTCACCCATTCACAAGACATGTGACATAGACTTTGTGAAACCGCTTCTGTATCGTCCTCCTATAAAAAACAGACAGCGCCCAGCACCAGAAATCTGATTAAATCTGATTTAATTGGCTATATTGTTTGATTGTGCAGTAAAGACTATTAAAAAAGCCTTTCTTTACGAAGGGCTCTGTGCCATAATTATCACTTTTGTGCTTCTATATGGCTTATTTTCAAATGAGTATTTTGTATGTACTTACACACACATACAAAGTGAGTCGGTTAGATAGTATTCTACCAGAGAAAACCTGAGGTTACTACTAGACCAGCGGTGGCCAATAGGTGGATTGCGATAGGCCGGTCGATCGCCTGCCATTGAACAATAAATCACTTATGCAGGGTCGAACGCGGGCTAACAGAAAACTCATGCTAATGCTAATTAGCGATCCTTGCTTACTCATGAACACATTAATTCCAAAGCAACTCTGGGTGACTCCAATCAGCGCAAGTCGTCCCAGTCCGGTAATACGTATGGAGCGGTTTAAACGCTTCCCTCAGAGGCTCGGCGGTTTTTTATATTAAGTCTTTTTCCGCTAACGGTATGCAGCGCCGTTGTCCCGTTTACTTACCGCTAACACTCGGTCACCCAACTTTTAGCCCCCTAGCTCGAAAAGTGTGGGCGCCCTTGTGTTATGAACTGAAAACTCCTGAAGTTATGACACATTTGAAATCCATGTAGCAGCAGTTTATTCCTTTGTTTGAGACGGACAACCTTCATGCTCAGACATTCATTCGCTAAACTACGTCATTTAATCCCACTGTGTAATGATAAACCAATTAAATTGCATTTGACTTTTTTATTAACATGGATTTCAATGTGAGATGGAAGGCCCTTTGTGGATGTTAATATAATAATATCACTTGTTGATGAAGGTATTCTTTAAACTATAAAGTGCAGCGTTACCAGGAGTTTCACGGATAACGGGCTCACCTTTGGTAATAAAGGAGCCATTCCTGCTGAGGGCGGAGTCTTTGCTGGAGGTGGAGTCACAGCGGAGCAGGGGCTCCGATTCGTCGGGGTAGAACCCCTTGGTGCGGTCCACCGGGGACGGCTCCACCGCCGCGCCGCTGACCCCGCCAGCGCTGCCGCCGCTGCCGACGCTGCTGGGAGAGCCGAGCGGCTTGTTGGGGATGCTGACGCTTTGGTTTACATTCACTGAGGTCATCAGCTGGTTGATGTCAAACTGCAGACAGGAATAGAAAGATCGCAGGAGTAGAGAGTGAGCACAGTGTGTGACAAACAAATGCTCATTTCTCTTCTGTCCATCCTTCTTTTAATGAGGAGGCCCATTTTCTTTGAATAGTCGTCCTGGTTATTTCTTTCTTTCTCTTCTGATTGTGTTCCCTCCCGCAGTAAGGACCCTCACACCACTTATGTAGATGATAAGCTGTCTGTTTGGGCCTTGTGCTGAGCTCATGAAGCGTCACAAGTCAGTCTCAACTGTCAAGAGTCAAGAAAAGTCCCCAGGTAACACTGTCAGGACTGAAGACAGACGAGACCTGAATTATGTCCCAAGTTAAGTCTTGTTTATGTCCCACGATGAAACAAGCAAGTCCCGTGCCCGCAGTCTAGATTCATGAACCATCTTAAGACAGGCAAGTCCCACATTAGACAGCTCGTCCCTCGTTATATACAGAGACAAGACAAGAACAGTAAGAACCAAGTCAAGTAGTAAATCAAGACAAGCGAGGGCTGTCAAGTAAAATCAGACAAATCCAAGTGAAGAGCCGCCCCCCTTTTCCTCTCCCCCTCTCCTGCGACTCCCTTTGGCGTGCTGTGAACCAGTAGCAACTAGTTTGTCTCAGTCTGGACTCAAAGTCTCAGCAGAGATCATTTCATGTACTGCAAACACTAGAAACACGTGTTCTGTTCTCATGATGATAAAATGGTTTCAGTGCTGTGGTGGATTCAGAACGTGACACAGAAACACTAGTTTTCTTTCTCTATCCCATAATGTCGGGACCAGTGGGCTTCAGCGTGACACAATTTGCATGATTGTGACAGAACAGACGCGCTGTGTCCAGCTCACAAAGGCACACACACACAAACACACACAAACCGTGACAATCACATGACAACACACCCAACTGGAATAGATGCTCTTTAAGAGCAGGCCAATTCACACAAGCTCATATTTACTTTCTGCCACTGTAAATATTGCTCAAAAATATTTTTTGCTTTTAAATGTATAAATTGAATTGCCTTATTTGTTGATAACAGGAAAAAAGCATATGTGAGATATAGAGATTAAATCTATAAGGACCTCCAAACGAGAGATGGAGCAGGGACCCCCTATTCTTGTCAGGTGTGGAGGCAGAGGCAGGACCCAAACGCAGACCTGACAACAAAAAGACTAATAGTCAAAATCAAAAAATGCCAAAAACGCAGACGGGGACCAGGAACTCACTCGACCTCCAGGGACGACACGCAAACATTCAATGACGCGACAAAAGACACACACTGGGACGGTGCAGGTGATTGGACACACGTGGAACCTATGCGAGACACAGCAGACAATCACAGGGGACGACAGGACAAGGCGGGAAGTGAAGTGTCACAAGGACACAAGACGCATGAAACTACAAAATAAAACAGGAAACAAACCCAAACCGTGACAATTCTACGGAGTTTGGTCCGCCATCTTTTACTTTTGAGCTTGGCGCTCTTTAGACGTGAGCATGGACGGATCTGATTGGCTGGTGCCGGTGACGTCGTATCAGCGTGATGAGTGAACCGGTGTCCAGCTTGAGACAACGTCTCCTCAATTTATCCGTTTGCTACAACATATTGGATGCATGTTAATGTGTATTTAAAGACAATAAATACAATTCTGATTCTGAAGACATTTCAATTTGTGGGAGAAAATTGGTTGAAAAAAGAAATACCCCAAAAAATGTTTGCAACCCCCCCTGCAGTACCTCCGCGGACCCCCTATTGAAGACCTCTGCTAAAGATGATTAGAAAACCCCAAAAAGGAACGGTTAATAGCCATATTGATCCCAGACAGTGTGCTTACACCTTTTTAGCGGCACTTTTCACACTCGAATAACTCTGGTGTCTCTTGACTAAACCACAGCTGACCTCCATCAGTGGCTGTATCAAACCAAAAGACCAGTTTAGACGAAGTGGACATTAAATTGATGGGTTGACTGAGCTAAAAGCAAACATCTTGTCATGTGAAGGTCTCATATTGTTTGGTGCTGGGATCATTTCTTTCTAACCCGTAACAATAAAGTCTCTGTTGGCGTGTGAATGACACAATGTGTAATTGATTCAGCCGGCAATAACAGCGGCGTTCTTACACACTAGAAGGGAGGACGGAGGTAGAGCGCAGGAGGGTCTGTTCCAGAAAGATCCAGAGAGCTGCCTGCCCCCCGTGTGGCAAAGAAAAAAGGATCAGGATGAGCAGCTGACTGCTGCTGTCAGTGCAACACAACAGACACACAAGGCGTAGAACACAACACTTATACGGACGGAGCCAGCACACACACACACACACACACACACACACACACACACACACAGATATGTGTTGATTAATGACAATCCCCCCAGAAAGAATCGCACTCAGTTGTAATTACGCTGAACACAGGAGCTATTAAGTAGACGTAGTGTAGCAGGAACGTGTCCCAACACAGCATCATCCCCACTGGTAGAGAATGTATGACGTCGTGCTGCACACAGCGTTTACCACTTCATTTATCTGAGACAGTTTAAGTACATGTTCACACAAACGCTCCCTGTAAGGGACTGAAAGACATCTAACAGGACCTGAGTCACAAACCCCCAATAATGTGAGAGAGACATAGAAGGAGGAGGACACAGGTACAGGTGTTCCTGTGTACCTGTGTGGCCTGCGACTAATGTGCTGATTAAAAACCAAACTCACCTGTTAGCTTCACCGTCTCGCATCACTTTACACTTTAAACGGTTACAATTAACATTCACAAACTTAAAACACAATGTAAAAGTTCTAAAACTCAACTCACTGTCCATATAACGGCGTGGTAGTAACCTGTCTGTCACACTGTAGCCCCGCCCTAAACAATACCTGCTTTATGGTCTATTTGAGTCTAAATGGAGACTGAGACCATAAACTTTTACTGAAGTAATAAGAAATAATAAAGAATTAGAATTGATGTCAGAAAAGCAACTAGGCAGCAATCAAACACCAGTAGTGAACGTCCGCAGAGGCCTCGGTTCCCTGTGAGGGGAAAAGACACGAGAGCGAAGAGAAACGGAGCCACATTTCTTGCTCTGCAGCAGTTGAGATAAAAATAGAAACATCAACCAGCTGATGCTTGTTGTTCCAAAGGGAATCACCAAACATACAGTGAATGCTTCTTTTCACTGTTACCAAAGACGAGTTAGCATACCAGGCTAACGTTGACGAGGAGCTGCTGCTTGGCGTTCAAACAAACGATGGCAGCGAGTATTACCCAATCAGAGGCAGAAGAGTCTTCACAGAATCCAGGTGGGATCATTTGCATGGGATGCTGCTTTGACCCCGAACCCCGATTCAAACCGGGACGGGCTACTTTATTCTCAAATACGGGACGATTCCGTATGTTAAGGGATGGGTGGCAACCGTAGGTGGGGGTTTTGGAACTGGTTCGCCGACTACTTCCTGTTTGGTTATTCCGGGGATCCCTGCATACAGTCACACGCATAACCTCCTCATAAGGCCACGTTAGCCTCACGTGGGTTTTCTGATGACTCCTGTGTCCAAGGTGTTTCCCTCTGTCATTAAAAACCATCAGATGTTATCACAGCCACAGACTTTTCCATCAGATGCTTGGTGACGCTCTCAGTCCCGGTTACAGTTTATTCCAACTGTGTTCGATGGGGTTGAGGTCAACAGGGAAAACCATTTCCTTAATGGAGTTTGTTTGGTGCTTGAGGTCATTGTGACAAACACAAGCTTATGAAAACAACCCTAGATCCCACAAGACGGTGCACTCGGGACACCATGATGTCAGGTTCATTAAGCATGAACATTGTTGCAACGCAACTCCTCCAACTTCCTGTCTGCCTTTTTTAACAAACTGGATTCTGTGGCTCCCTCACAAACATGTTCATGATCTTCTACCTCGTCCAAAGACCAAACTCTGCTCCTTATTGAGCTGTGATGAAAGGACAAATCACACAGTATTCTTAAAACAAGGCTGTGACTGTCGCTGACCTCGGACATGCAGGCAAGGGCACCATGATACCAATCGCTGGAAAGTTAATGGTGATGAAGGACGCGGTGCACGTTTATGGCTTTCTATGTCTGTGTGTGTGCATGTGTGTGTTTGTCCTGAGGACATTACAGTGCAAAGCTCATGACTTGGAAATGGGAGTTATTTAATCAATAGCAGTCATCCTGCTACACGCATGCACCACGGAAACCTGTGTGTGCGCGTGTGTGTGTGTGTGTGTGTGTGTGTGTGCGTGTGTGTGTGTGCGCAGGTTTAAGAGGAATCAGATTTGTGAAACTAGCCTTTTGAAACAATTCAAACTGGATTAAACTGGAAGCGGAGGAACTACTGTAATCAGAGGAGCAAAGTCAAGCGTGTTCAGTTTGTAGGAGTAACTGGAGATAAATGAAGGATTTCTTTGAGTGGTAAACTATTACTGATTAACCTTTACTTTTTATTTTAGATGGATATAAAATGAAAGTAAAACAGCTGTCAGAGCTACGGCGGCATTACGTGTGCTACTGCAAAGAAGTGTGTGTGTAAACTGACTTCAGGTGATGGCGGTTGGTTTGGTGCACGATCTGCGTTGTCTGAACACTGAGATGTCAGTCAAATACAAAGCAATGCATTCCAATTGGAATCAAGCGCTCCCACCGTGGAAACAGAGGAGCATTCGATCGTTTGTGTGTATGTGTGCGTGTGTGTTTGTGTCTGTGAATGTCCGTAGAATGTGTGAAAAAAAAAAACCGATAAAAATATTAAGCAATTTGACGCCGAGATGAGAAAAGAAAGAAAGGATAATATTTCGGGTGGCCAGTTAAGGCTGAATCCTCACGATGCTCTCGTGGTTGCAGCAAATCGCATTTCCTAGTTGCTGACTCGTCGCTCGTTACACTTAACGGTGGAGGCCGCTTGTGATAGAACAGCAGATTGCAGATGCCGACCCCCACCTGTAGTTCTGGTGGGTTTGGGCAGTACACATGTTCTGGAGAACCGGACGGACGCACGGCCAGAAAATGTAATACAAAGTAGTACAAATCTAACTGTGATTCAATAGACAAACTAATAACAGAAAACATTTAGTTCCTCACTCCAACAAGCCTTTTCCAACAAGATGTGCAGGGAGTCGCTGCAACACTCGTGCAATCAATCATTGTCCCAAAGTGAACCGTGACGAATGCTGCCAAACCACCGGCTCCAGCGGAACGCGCTGCTCCGAACGCGGCTCGGTTTCCATGGCGGGGAGATGCGAAACCACAGTGCGTGCTGCACCTTCCGCCAGCGGTGGATGTCCACGGAGAAGATGTGAACCCAAGAAAAGGTCCAAGATCTTAAAGAAAGAAGAAACCGCACACGTCCACCCGGCCTACCTGTGGGTTGTCCTCCATGACACAGCGGATCTTCTCCACCACGTCGATGCGCCGCTGTCTGTGCAGGCCGTTGATCAGCTTGGCCAGGTTGGCGTCGCCGTCTCGGATGGTCCAGTGCTGCAGCGCGGCGTACGCCCGCTCGTGGTCCGACGAGTAGCCGTTGGAGAAGGCGGCCACCTCCCTCTCCGTGGCGTTGGCCAGCGACTGATAGATGTCAACCCACTGGGTGCCCACGTGGGCCGCCACCACCTTCAGGATATCCACCCCTGAGCAGGGAAAGAACACGTAGAGATTCTGATAGAGGTCGACTGCATCCCGGTTCTCTTCCAGGGTTTTCACAGAAACGCAATGAAGCAGGTTATCAAGTACAGTGAGCTTGTCCTTAAGTCTACCAAGGATGTGCTAGCACTGGCTAAGACAATGTTAGCTGTGCTAAGTATCGAAATGAGGGTTTGATAGGAACGGAGTCTGTGATATCTGCTCCCTTCAAAGTCACAGTTGCCTCAGTCGCTTAGTTTATTTTGGGCTTTTTGTGACTTTACAAATGTACAATGTGGCGTCCACTGCACAGTTTGCTTACCGAAATATACTAAGGATGGATATATATTCTATATGTAGCAGTGCTTCCTTGCGTAAGCGGCGGGTCACGTGACAAAGGTTCTCTGAAGGATGAAGCAAAACGGTATTTTGACAATATAACAGACGAACATCCAAAAATGTTTGGGAATTTGGATGAATAAGGAATTCATAAAACCTCCTTAAATAATAAACTTCCAAGTTGAAAGAAGAAGGACTTCTATTCAGTTTAAAGAGATGAGACTTGCTGGATCTCCTGGTAATTGAGGACTGTAGCTGTAAGCTGTGCTGACTCACAGGATACAGCAGCAAACAATTGCCTCATTTCTAACTAATGAAGCCCTCATGCAATGCGCAGCACAATACACCATTGTTCTCTATCGGTCATCCACACTGAACATCCATGGGCTGTGAAGAAGAGTCTGAAAATGAGACAACCTCACATGTGTAACATGAACAGCTCTGTGCTCTGACTTTTCATCATTTACTTCACAACCAAGAGCTTCAGTCTTGTTAACTCAATACCAGGAAACATGCTGTTCAAACAGGGGACACAGAGCATGAAACACACTGGAAGAGTTGCATCTTGGAAATAGGGGAGAATGATCATTTCCAAAGCATGTGGATGATGCTCAAAGGAGGCGTAACAATGACTTTGTGTTATTTGGAGTCAATATTTTGTAAACTATTGGATGGATTATATATGATTAAGAATCACCACCAACATCCTGGTGTTTGGATGAAATGTCTGGTACAATCCCTTTGATCCAACTGGTTGCATGCATATTTTTCAAATCATGCAAAACCACAAAACCACAAAAACGTTTGTTGCAGGAACACCTGGTAGATCAGAGTGCACCTTTCTTTTATTATTACAAGAGTTCTATATGATGGAACAAAATTTGTGCAGCACATGAGTCCAAGACCAGTTCTCTATGGAAATAACAGTAATAAATATTAATAGTAAAGTCTATCTTATACTATCCGCTAATGATTAGCATAGTCAACAGGAGCATTTTTAGGTGAAAGCACTCACAGAGCTGTTAGCATATTTGTGCTAGTAGAAGGCTACATGGTTGCTGGCTTGGCTGATACTAAAACACTGCACACCACCGAATGCCCGTACTATCATACACAAACCGGCCACTTCCAGTGGATTTTTATTCTTTAACTTCTCCAGGACAGGGAGGCAGTCCGCTGAACCGATAACAGGATCCGTACACGTCAAAGATATCACTTCAGTTTAAGGTGTAATCGCTATGACGATTATCCTGGAATGCCAACTTGCTTTAAGGGATTCTACATAAAGAGGTTGTACCGATCTGAACAATGCAGGTGAAATTGGGCATAACTGTGGTCTCGTTAATGAGATGGAAAGAAAATGCCTCTCCATAGAGAACAAGTTCTCCACAAGAGACTTCTGTTGGGAAGAGTGGTTCCTCTTCAGGGTGTCCAGCTTGGTCACTCGAGGAGCTCAAAGGACGAGTCAGTGCAACCGATCCTCCTCAGCACAAGTTCATGCAACAAGCATCAGGATCAGCTGGGGCAGTCGCTTAGTTTACGATGTAGACGCACACCGGCCGCGTGGTTGGAAGGAGCACAGTCATTCTCGAGCTGTGGAGCTTTTCTACCGTATCAACTGCATGTTTCCTTCCTGTCATATTTGGCTCATTCAGTAGCGAATGCCACTGTCTTCTGAAGAAAACCAGGCCCTCTGAACATGGACTCACATGGACTCACAAGTGTTTTTGTTGTATAACCAGTCCAGGACATTCAGTGCAGCACCGGTCGCAAACAAATACCAGACCTGTCAACACTTGCTGCTATTTATCTGGTGCTCGTACCGGTTCAGGTTACGTGAAGAAATAATAGAACATGGGGAACAACCAGGGACGACTGCCTTTGGCCACATCATGACACAGGTTTTAAGAACTAAATTGCGATATTCTGAACCTGTGGCTTGAAGGGGAGATATTTCCAGGGTTCCTACGTACACAGAACCATGTTTGGGCCCAGACTCACTTTTCCGTACGTTGCTCGATTAGTTATGAATAAAGATAAAACATATTTATGGGCTTTGGTTGAACAAAGAACACAACACCATCTATAAAAGATCAGATAGATAAAAGCTTTGTGTCAATCAGAGCTGACGGGTTGTCGTTTGTAACATCCAGCATCAGCATATCATTGATTAATGAAATCATATAACAATTACAAAATACCTTAATTACAATGGCTTTCTTTTCCTTTTTCTCCTCTGGTTATTAGCGTAGCTTATGCTCACTAACTAACTTAGCAAACTCGAGGTGGAAATATAAATGCTGACGTGTGTGTCTGTCATGCAAACAGATACAGCGCCTTGGTTGTGTTGCGTGGCAAAGAGAAAGGCCATGGCCATACGTGTGTATCCATAATCCGAGGTTGGCCATCTTGGTTCGGGATCAGCGAGCCTTTAATCCTCCTGAATTACTGTAGCAAATGTTTTATGAATATTCCACACAACATGATTGGTTGGTGCTTTTATCCGCAGTAGCGAAAGCGCAGACAAAATCAAGTTGTTGATTTCTTTCTAGTTTGGTGAATTTACCAAAGTCTCCTGTAGCCTTCTGCATGGACCTTCCAGAGCATCGAGGGAGAATTACTGCCAAGTGTCACAAGGATCCCTGATTAATGTGTTCGGGGCAAAACATGGCTAGTGCACAAATCCAGGATGATTCAGAGAGATTAAATGGATGTTAGCCAGTGGTGGTAATTCATTGCTCGACAAACACATATCCCCATTGCCTGTACACACACAGGAACGCACACACACACACACACACACACACAGGCTGAGAGAAAAGTATACATGTGAAGCCTTAACACCTGCTCAGAAGGACCAGGAGCAAGTTCTGGACAGTTACAGTCAGTTGGGGGCTTAGAAAACCCTGGAGCACCATTATAGGAGCCTTGTGCAGTGACCTGATCGTAGACTCTCTATAAGAAGTGATGCACTCTGGCATTCAGGTTGAAGGCGCAATGCATAAGACGTGGAATGTCACTGCGGACCGATGGTGTTAATGGGACCAGCCCTATTTCTTTAGGGTGGTTGGGGAACCCATTTAGAAAAGACACCAACATTCCACACAGACTACAGCTTTACCACAACACATATTCACTTCCTAAAGACCCACGATCCCGCAGGAGAAATACCCCCTCACTCTGCATAACCAGGTAAGTCTCGTGATGACTTCACAGGTTATGCATAGGTTATGTCCGTCGACCTGCACATGTATTCATGTGTTTTCATGGGAATGTATCAGGGTGTATTATTGCGTCTGAAATGTCAAACTGTGTTTTATTACATTGTCATGTGAAGCTTGATACAGCTGTCTAGAGGGAAGAATCGCAAGCTGTCCCGACTTGTTGCGTTTTTGCACAAATCCCTTAAAGAACATTTATTGTGTTCGGGATCTCCAGGACAGAGCCGTGCCCTCATGAGTTGAAAATGACTCATCTTGTTTGGCAACCAAGGTGATATGGATTTGCTCAAAAGAAGGTCTGTACGGATACATAATAATAAGTCTAAAGAACTCTGATATAAAATGAAAGGCAACCAGAACGGTATAATGACACTTTATTGTACTGAAGCGGCACCTTCTGACTATGAAAGCTGCAGGTCTGCTGAGTCCCTCAGCTCCTTTAGATCCAGATTAAATACTTATATTCTATTCTAAAGTAGTGTTTCTCTTATGTTTCAACCAATGTTCCTAACCTCCTTACTTGATGTTAGGAATGGGGCTCTGCCAGTGTTCACACAGATCACAGAAGCACTTGTTTTCTTGTCTGACGTTGCAGGTACAGGCATATATCTCGTGTAGGCCTACAGTCTAAAGACATATACAGGGATGACCGGATACGGGCCGAGTGAAGAATGCAATTCACAGTTAGTTAGTTAAAATAAGATCGGGCGTCTGAGGACGGGTAGGACCAGGGGCGGACTGGCCACAGGGGATACTGGAGAAATACCCAGTGGGCCGACAGGGTCGGGCTCGTCCAATACCGGCACGCTTCCATCACCAACCGGCCCTCCCTCTTGTCCCCCCCATGTTCTTTGATTCACAGGAGATGTTGAATTAACGTCTGAAGCCTGGCAGTTATACTACTCCACATTCTGTCACGGTTTGGGTTCATGTCTGGTTTTATTTCGGAGTTTCCTTCCTCTGTTCTCCCTGGGTCACGTCACTTCCTGCCTTGTCCTGTCGTCCCCTGTGATTGTCTGTCATGTCATGATTGTTCCCAGCTGTGTCCAATCACCTGCTCCTCCCCAGTGTATTTAAGCCGTGTGTGTCTGTTGTCACTTGTCGCGTCATTGTTCATTGTATGGAGGTCCAAGTCCAAGTCCCTGTCCCTGTCCATGTCCACGTCCACGTCCACGTCCACGTCCACGATCTTCTTCTCGTTACTGGTTCCTGTCTTCGTTTTTTGCCCCTTGGCCTTTTGCTTTTGAAAACCTTTTTGACAATTAAAGTCCATTTTCTTTTTGAAAACTCTGCGTCTGATCGCCATGCAGCTTCCTGACACACTCACACTCGTATATCCAGCCTGCGACTGAATATGACTGATGACATGATCACAGCGGGCCTGCTGGTCACACGCAACGCTTTGAGTGGGCAAGGCGCCGAGCGTTGCGTGGCCCGGTCTGACAGTAACTTCTGGGCCACTTTCCTCCCCAGTCCGCCGCTCGGTAGGAGACATTGATGAGTTTCGGAAAGTCCTATCTTTGAAAATTGAGATTTCCTTTATGAGGCAACTACACCGCATTCTGAGCACTTTTTTTGTAGAAGCAGCAGTGACTTATGGGTCCCGCAGCAAAGAAAAACATGATATATATGGGATTGTGGGATCATACAGTAGATGATACCTGCCACTGATGGCCACGTTATACTGAGGTTGCCAGGTCCCAACAACCAAATAAAAAATTGTAACATGAATAAAAAGCTATAGATCCAACAAGTGGTCTTGTTAGGTGTGTGTAACTTGATGTGAAGCAGGGTGCCTCGTGCGTCAGCATCCTCACAAATACCTTTCTGTTTATCACATCACATACGTTCCTTACACTTTCGGAACACACAATGTTAAATTGGTGAAATTGGCTCTGTGGGATCAAAACAAGTGCGGTATACCTCCAAGCAGGCAACACACTCACACCAAGCTGCGCTCCTCCCAATCAAACCCAGGCTGAACTCCCTCGGCCCACCCTGGTACTGCCCAACGCAGTAGATTCTAACAAGTGGCTCCCTGCTGGGCTTGGATGTGGGACATGGGATTATTAACAGGGTGGTTGTTTAACGAGGGAGGATGGTGGGCAGGTAGAATGTTGTTTTCCTCCACAGTTGGAATCGAGTTTGGCAATTTATGTTGTGAATAGTATTCCTGGAGACCACACCGAGCAACCGGCCTCCCCCTGATGTTCTCCCCAAAGGGCCTTATGGTTTTGACATGTGTACGGGTCAAACTGCAGACGCTATACGTAGCCTTAACATTTTCAGATTTTCTGTTGTATCAAAAAATGGCTACATAATAATACCGTGTGTGATAAGTGATTAATTAAATGACTGTGATGTGATTAATTAAATGTAACCGCAAGCTACAAACTTTTTGTGATCTTCTTTAATTTGACTCCTGCGACCTTTTTTGCAGATAAAACCAATAGTGTGATCAGATCCTGCAGCAGACATGTCTGGCCCGTGATCCTGGAAAAGCCCATTCGCTAAAGCAGTAGCAGTTTTCACTACTTCCTGACCTGACTCACAGCAAGCGCCAAGTATTGTATGTGTGTGATCTGTGCTTTGAAATTTCCCTTTCTTTTTCTTTTATTGCTATAGAGTTTTAACTGCTCTAATAAAGGGGCATTGCACCTTGAAGGGGAGCCAGCTACGCACCTTGGAAGGATTAAGAAGAATGTTTTGTTCTCTGCCCCAAGGAGTAAACAGGGGTGTAAAATGGCTATTTGGTTTGCATGTGCATATGCACATGCTTAAGTAAATGCATTCACATGGATCCACTCATCCGATCAGAAAAAAAGACATGAGCCCAACACACACACACACACACACACACACATTCTAAAAGTCAGTTTAAAAACCTAAGCAGCAATGACAATTATTCCATTAGCAATACTTGAACACAATTCAGATTATTCGGTCAATCTGGCCAATCATCCCACTTCTGGTTTGCAAACTCTGATTAAATTGAATTAAATTAAATTAAACTGAATTGCATTTTCATTCAGAAGCTTGGGTCCATTTCTGAGCAGCGACAACATTAAAGGAGCTATCTTGCTATGCTACCTTGTGATTTACCACCTTGTTGTCTGTGTTTTCACAGTGTCCTTATAGATCATGAATGCAAACTGTTACTTGTATTTTGTCACGTGTAAAAAACAAGAACTTATGGCTCCAAACAGCAGGTGAGTTCATGATGAATTCCTCTTCTCTGTGGGTTAAACCATTTCAGATTGTCCTCTAGTCCACTTTTAGGAAAAAGGAAGAATAATCGCTGCAGCTTTAAGGAAAAATAGTTCTTCCTGATGAATCATTTAATTACTTATGGGGTCAAAGAGGACCAGTTACTCGTGTCTTCTTAGATCTTCAGTATCTGGGATAACAAGGGCTTTGAGGTAACGGCTGAGAAACCTCATCAAACTCACAACTCCCACTTCCAACCTAAACGCACACCACTGTTACATCATCTTTCTCGTGCTCTGCTCATTTCCGTCTGTCTCTGTGTCTCTTTGTTGTCCTGCAAGAGTCTCGCTTGACCCACTAATGGGCCTCGCCAGACAACAACCCCGATGCAGCTGAAACCAGATTATTCCTGTTCTCTGTGGCCAGGCAGCGAGGGAGCGCACACACACACACACACACACACACACACAGTTTCACAGCGGAGAGTCGAGTGTCTCGGGCAGGAGGTGTCCCCTGGGTTTGGGTCTTTGTCTCTGATCGAAATCAGAAGCTGAGCTGAGATGAAATGTTGATAGCACGTGTGAACTGATGGGCACTGAGGAGTGAAACCCAACAGCTCACACAGAGGAAGTTAAACGAGGCAAGTGGAAAATGTAAGACAGACAGAGACAGGAAGAGGTGAAAAGAAAGCTGAGTAGTGAAAAATAAGAGGAAGGAATAAAAAACTTTGAAATAAAGATCAAAACGGGAAAAAATCTGCTTGAATAAAGGTCCAGAAAATGGACAAAGGAAGACAGAAGCAACTAAGAACAAGGACTTAAAACACAAGGGGAGGAAACAGAAGACAAGACAAAATTGGAAAACTGAGAGCAGTGATGTAACCCGAGTGTGTGTGTGTGTGTGTGTGTGTGTGTGTGTGTCGGGGTTGGATGGTAGTGACCTCAGAGAGGCCCTACAACAGGGTCACGTCCTGATTGGTTAACTACTGCCCTCCATTTGAGACCATGCGTATGCATAATAACGGGGACACACTAGTATAAGTTCATGTGCGGGGAACAATCTTCGGCGCAGGGTTACAGGACTGTTGACATTTTTTTAATAAATTAATTCTTTATCCAGTGTTGAAAGGTGTAGAGCTGAGATATCGTATGCATGGTCAGTGGCCCTAAACGCCACACGTGATGCTCCATGTTCCGCTCTGGAAGTCATTTTTGACGAGCAGGTCTTTTCAAAATACAATTTTAAAGTTTAGCTTAGTCGGTATCAGACTCCCGGGGGCACTGACCAACCATCGGTATATGGACTGGAAGTCCAGGTGGATGGATGCAGTGTTTCCCTTACGTTCACAGGTTTACGAGGGGGTAGGCGGGGGGCTTACCCTGTCCGTTGGAGTAGTAGATCCACTTCTCTTTGAGCTGCGTTGGAGGCGCAGCTGCTTTCTTCTGAATGGCCTTCTCAATGATGCTGCTGGGGTCCTGCACGGGGCCCTTCTTCAGCACGCGGGAGCTCCGCTTCACGCTGCAGATGACGATTACCACCAGCACCAGCAGCAGCAGCAGCACTATCATCCACGGGAGGTGCTCGTTGATGTCAAAGTGGTCGTGGGTGCTGGGCCTCGGGGATCCCCTGCGAGTGGGCCTGTAGTAGCCAGACACACCAGTCCCCCCACCGCCGCTCCCCTGGCCGGCGACCTTACTGACACCGACTCTGACTATCTCTGCTCCCTCCATACTATCTGCCGCCTTTTTGTTGGAGCCTGGCACAGGGTCAAAGATGGGTTGCCCGAGTCTGTGTTCGAGGTCCGTGTTTTGCTGTGGAACCCGCGGGGAATCGTGATTGGTTGGGGTGGGAGTGCTTAACCTGCTGAGTGGCCCCTCTGCGGGGTGGTCTCCCCCACCAAGGCTTCCCCTCAGTTGAATGGCTGCTGACTGGCTGTAGGTGCCTACGATGAGAGACAGAGGGATCTATGACAACGTGCAGAGGTAAGAGATGAGATACAAGAGACAGAAGCCGAGGAAATTGAATGCACTCACATCACAGATGTGCTCAACCAAAACAATGAAAACTGACACAGATGGAAATCCAAACACTTTAAAACATGCAAACAATTTCAACATTTTTAGGCCAAAATGTAAATGATGTTTACTGACAGATTGTGGTGAATTAGAAGGCAAAGAAGCCCTTTTGATGGGTGGAGTAGTACTAGAAGGTGATGCTATAGATGAGCATTAGTGACTTGAAAATGACGGACTATGTGCACGCTAGCAGCCCTGCTGCCAAATGGATGTTACAGCGGTCCAGGCAACATGCGAGCAATGCATGTCAATGGAGTTCAGTTGGATACAGAACAGGTAACAGATGACATGCTCATTACAAGTTGGTTGGTTGTTAATAGCCAGGTCAGCTGTGTCTCAGTGGAGGGTCAATCAAACGGTTGGCGGTCCGTGTCATGTGTGTGGTGTGGTGGTTTGCACTGTCACCTCACAGCAAGAAGCTTGCGTGTTCTCCCCGTGTCTGGGTTCTCCCTGGGTACCCCCGCCCCCCATAGTCCACAGACATGCCCTGGCGGTTAGGTTATTTGGTCCTGTAGCTGTGTCTACATTGTGTGAATGTTACTGCTGATGGACAGGTGGTCGTGTGTATGGTGGCTCCTGCCATCAGTGTATGAATGGGGGAAGTGGTTAGTGGTCAGAAGACTGAGGAAGCTATTTACCGTTTTACCAAACCTGGTTGTATTCTCCAGTCAGGTGCAATTTAACCACTGCAGAAGATGGTACCACACTTCCCTTAACAGTACAATGCCCCTGTACTCCTTCTAGTTAGCTTCAGCACAACTGTGCTCCACCTTGTGATCACACAGTACACAATCTCTCATTTAGCTCACCCCACAGCATGACCCTATGATGGGAATAGTTTTGTATTAAATCATAAATACGCTGCCGACTGTTTTTAGGAATATCACTTTGATGGCTGGTAATCCCTCTCATGATTTGATCAGAAAACCGGTACAGAGAACCATTGTTAATCCCAAAATTAGGGCTGGCAGCAATAAATCAAATTTCTATATTTCTACATTAAGGAATTAACTGTTGGTTAACAGCTGTAATCGCTATTTAAGAGCAGCCGTGAGCGTGCTAGCTGGACACTTACAATGGCACAAAAATTGATTCTGTGAAAATATGACAGTACTCCTCATTGACAGGTACCGTGAACCAGGACTTGAGAATTTTCCTTCCCTTCCCTTTTCCTTTCCTTTCCTTCCCCGATAGGGAAGTCTGCTCCGTGGTATAACCCTCAAACACGGAACCTAAAGCAAACTGTGCGGAAACTTGAACGATTATGGCGTTCCACCAAAGCAGGAGGATCTAGGCTAGTTTGGCAAGACAGCCTTAAAACGTATAAGAAGGCTCTCCGTAACGCAAGAGCATCTTATTACTCATCATTAATAGAGAAAAATAAAAACAACTCCAGGTTTCTCTTCAGCACTGTAGCCCGACTGACAGAGCGTCTCCTTTGGACCTCACTAGTAACGACTTCATGAACTTCTTCAATGATAAGATTCTGACTATGAAAGAGAAAATTGATGGTCTCCTGCCTTCAACCAGTGCCGACCTGTCCTCCGATGTAGGAACCTTGGATGCAGCAGTGGGCCCTGATGCCTGTTTGGATGCCTTCTCTTCCATCAAACTTGATCAACCTTCTTTAATTTCGAAGTCTAAATCTTGTCTTATAATTATTATAATTATGTGACTTTCTACGAAACAATGCTTTGTTCGAGGATTTCTAGTCAGGATTTCGAGCGCATCACAGTACAGATCAATGATCTTCTACCTGCATCAGACCAAGGACTCGTCTATTTTCTTGTCTTGCTGGACCTCAGTGCCGCATTTTACACCATAGATCATTGTATCCTGTTGCAGAGACTAGAACATTTGATTGGTATCAAAGGAACTGCACTCAGCTGGTTTAAGTCCAAATTATTGGATCGATCCCAGTTTGTGTGTGAATCCTCGAAGACCACCAATGTTCGTCACGGAGTCCCACAAGGTTCTGTACTTGGACTGATTTTATTTACCCTCTATATGCTTCCTTTGGGAGATCTTATCAGGAAACACCGCATAAACTTCCATTGTTATGCAGACGATAGAATAGAATAGAAGTACTTTATTGATCCCCGGGGGGAAATTCAAGATCCAGGTATCTCCTGACAATATACAAACATAATATACACATGCAGTTAAACTGTTAAAAAGGGTCAAAGGAACCCTTTTTAATGTATGTTTGATACTCAACTGTATCTGTCGATCAGCTTGTTGGACTTCAAGAATGTCTTGGAGACATCAAAACTTGGATGACCTGCCACTTCCTGATGCTAAACTCAGCAGTTATCTTGAAAGGCCCAGAGCGCCTTCAAAGTCAGCTGTCACGTGATACAGTTTTTATGGAGTTCTCTTCGACCAGGATATGACCTTCAACTCGCATATAAAGAAGACTTCAAGGACTGCCTATTTTCATCTACGTAACATATCAAAAATCAGGAACTTCCTGTCTAAAAGTGATGCAGAAAGATTAATTCATGCGTTTGTCACTTCCAGACTGGACTACTGTAATTCTTTATCAGACTGCTCCTGTAAATCTCTTAAGCCTCTCCAGTTGATTCAGAATGCTGCAGCACGTGTATTAACAAGAACTAAGAAAAGGGATCATATCACTCCTGTATTAACTTCTCTGCACTGGCTCCCTGTTAAGAATAGGTTTTAAGGTACTTCTCCTCACCTACACCTAGGCACTTGCTGGTGAGGCACCGTCGTATCTTAAAGAGCTTGTAACACCGTATTGCCCTACAAGGCAACTGCGCTCCATAGATGCTGGGTTACTTGTTGTTCCTATGGTTTTAAAAAGTAGGCCGGGGGCCAGAGCCTTCAGTTATCAAGCTCCTCTTTTGTGGAACCAGGTTCCACTTTCAGTCGGGGGGGCAGATTCGGTCAGCTCTTTTAAAGTAAAACTTAAAACGTTCCTCTTTGATTGTGCCTATAGTTAGGGCTGGCTCAGGTTAGTCCGGACCAGCCCTTAGTTAAGCTGCTATAGGCTTAGACTGCTGGGGGAATTCTTAGGACACACCGAGCTCCTCTCTCACGCTCTCGTTCTACCATAATTCACGTTTTATTACTGCACATGACTAATTCAGCTTCTCTCCGGGAGTTAGTTTGTGCTTTCTCCCCTATCAGGTCTCCGTAGATTGTGGTTCCTTCGGGACCCTGGTCCTGACACCTGCCGTGGCCATGCTGACGCCTGCTGCTGCCATCATCATCATCATTATTATTTTAGTTTTTGTGCTCTCCCTCCCCACAGGCTTCTGTGGATGGTGGTTCTACCTGATGGTGGTTCTACCTGATGGTGGTTCTCTCTGATGGTGGTTCTACCCGATGGTGGTTCTCTCTGATGGTGGTTCTACCCGATGGTGGTTCTCTCTGATGGTGGTTCTATGTGATGGTGGGTCTACCTGATGGTGGGTCTACCTGATGGTGGGTCTATGTGATGGTGGTTCTATCTGATGGTGGTTCTATCTGATGGTGGTTGTCCCTGCAGTGGTCCTGTCGTACACCTGCTTACTACTCACAATATTTGAATTATTTCTGTCGTATGAATTGAATGTGTTGTTCATCTTCTACATTGTTCTTTCTGTCCTCATGACGTCATTGTAGTCGGTCCATCAGGAGACGGATCCTCTGACGTTCTCACTGAGGTTTCTTTTTTCCACATGGAAGGGGTTAATTTTTATTTTTTCCTGTGCCGATGGTGGGTTTCAGGACAGCGGATGTTGCATGTGGACAGACTTTAAAGCCCTCTGAGGCAAATTTGTAATTTGCGATTTTAGGCTGTACAAAATAAAATAAATTTTGTTTTATTGAATAAATTGAAATAGTCGATCCGTGCTGAAATCGAACCTAGCTAGAGGACAGCTAGTAACGTTAGCTGTTAGCGCTTTTTGTGATGGGCTCAAAAGTGATCTTGTAAAATAATTTTTTATGTGAGAAACTATAACAAATAGTTCTTTGCTATAATAATGCTCTAAATATCTTATATAGAGTTTACCTAAAGTCTTAAAATTATATATATTTACTGCATGTATATATTTCTGCACTTCTCATTTGACATTAAATGTATTAACATTAGAGGTGCAAAGGATCGCGGATCAGAACGGATCAAGTCTTTATTTAAAGAAGATATGAACCATGAGTGTGATTACAGATCGAAGAACTCGGAGTACAAATCTCAGTGAGTAATTACTTGCTTTAGCATCTTCTGTGAAGCACAGCGTTTAGTCGGGTCCGGCGATGGCGGGCCGGTTGGTGATGGCAGTGGGCCGGTATTCGGTCTGGGCTGCTCCAATACCATTTATTTCATTTTGTTGCAAATTGGATACGATATTTTTATGTAAAAATATGACCAACAGTTCTTTGCTTTAAGCGTTTTGAACTTCTTTACTTAATGAATAAAAAGCATGGCTATATTTAAGTCATGGTTTTCCAGGTACCAGTGCCTCCTATTACGTCCTATTCTTGGACCCAGTTGAAATATATTTAAACATTCACAGCAATGTCTCTGGAATCCACAGTTCATAGAATATTTGTGATGCAACTCAAAAACCCCTTCACATGAAGTTAATTATTTAAAGTGACATTTGCTGAATGTAGTTTGTCACTGAATGAATTTCACTTCTTCTAGGGTTCAACTCTTTGCCCCTTTTTCAACCTCTCCATTCACAGAAGACGATAGGGGGGAAATAACAGTCATGATTTAAAAGTAGCTCTTGAGCCTGAAGGGTTTGGGCACCCCTGGCTGAAGCAGACTTCCAGACACTTTTTGATGATGTATATTGAAGCCATATCAAACGTAGTCAAAAATACACTGTTTATTCTTTGCCATTTCTAAAGAAGACCGCTTTTTGCAATTAGTAAGGGTCTCTCACCTTTATGGGCAGGTCCATTCAGGGATGACGAAGGAGCGGATAAGGAAGTCATGGGTTCATGTACAAGAACAGCCTGTTCCGGCCCCAGTAGCATGGTTGTAGAGGCAGGCAAAGATGAGGGGGCTCCGCAGACATTATCAGTCTCTTTGGTCCCCGGGGTTATCGGCACCAGACCCTGAGCTTTGCAGTCCGTGTGAGTGCGACACTTCGTCATGCTCGACTCCACATCTGAGAAAGTCCCTTTGGTGCACGGCTTGCAGAGCGCATCCTCGGTTTCACTGCCCCGCCTTTTCACCCTGGTCCCTGGCGGGCACAGCGAGTGGGCTTTACACGCATCCCCCGACAGAAAGCTGTTGGGGGGACACGCGCAGACTCTGTCCTGGATGGGCCTGCAGATGGCTTTCTCGATGAAGCCTGCAGGGCACGCAGCTCGACAGGGATGGCATTTCTGCATCCCGTTCTCGCCACGCGTGAAGGTGCCTTCGGGGCAGCGGCTGCACTCCCTTACGGCCGCCGGGGTGCAGTGGGCCGACACGTGGGTGCCTGCCGGGCACTTGTCACAGACCAGCTGGGTGCCCGAGTCAGGGTCGGTGTGCTGATAGTGGCGGGGTGAGAGGGTCGAATGGTCAGCTGGGCTGATGGTGGTCAAAACCCGAGCTGAGATGTCGACCATCAATGAACATAAGAGCTGAGAAGAGAAGGAGTGTGGGAAAGAAAGAAAAATTCCAATGGTATTTAAATAGCACAACATCTCTATGCAATGTATCTGAAGCAGTATTGGTTTTATTTTAGGATACCAGCATCCTTAAAGTGACGCCAATACCAATACTCATCATGGTCAAATGCTACTTCCACATTTATTTTTACCAGTTGTCACACACGTGTAGTAAAGCCAACCTGTCAGCCTTCATGGTGGCGTGTTTGCGAGCCAAACTACAAACTCTGTCAAAGACAAAACACTTGAGTGTCACATATATCTTGTTGTTGTAGATGCCAGTGGGCCAACAGTTCAGTTCAAACCTCACAGATGCAGCGTGCAGCCTTTTGTGGGTAAAAGTGATCAAATGCAGGTGTTGTTTTACTGGGCAGGTTTCCGTAACACTTGGTACTGGGTTATTGTACGGTAGTCAATACCTTAGCGGTATTACGTACCGATACCAGCCGCGCCAAAAGGCCCAAATACAAGCAGACTAGAGAAGATGAGAATGTATCAAATATCTAGAAATGTCTCTCGGTTATCTGTGTAACATGTTACAATTCTAGCATCATTGGGGATACTCACAATAAATCATTAGCAGTAATACTTATTCATGATAACAAGCTGTGTGACGTTGGGTATTGATGCTGAGGTCACAGATTATGTTCCACAGAAGCCAATCAAACAACTATTTCCAGACTAGTGGCGAGGAGCCTTATCTACAGACGTATCATTCATGCGTTTGCTTCGAAATATCAAGGACCACACAGTCACAGTCAGACGGCGTGTTTTGGGTTACGTGGATTCTGGATCATTCAAATCCCACTGCTGCCATTTAGGTTCCCAATGACTGTCTGCTTTGATGAGACACATGAAAAAGCTGCTCAACCAGCATCACTCATGACTTCCCCCTCATCCCCCCCGACATTCACTTTACAACCACAACTGAGAATAGGAACACACACACATACATGTGTGTGTGTGTGTGTTTCAGACTCCCCTCTCACCTCTGCTGGGAAGAGGATAATCCTCACATGTCTCAAATGAACACACACGTTCACAGACACACACACACTCACAGACACACACACACACACACACATTCACAGACACAAAGGTGTGAGTCATGTCAGAGCTTCAGGCGGCCTCATTTCCAATAACAGAGCTGCTTCTCTGACTCTCTGAGTCTGAGTGAACATCTGACTTCACTCCATCGGCCCAATGGTGGCCGACCCAACACACGTGCTGATGAGCGTCGGGATATATTACAACGAACGTGTCTGAAGATGAAAACACGGACGCCACAGAGGTAGTGGACCAACTGACGCCTCAGTCACACGGATGGGAAGAATCTATCAACACCGATCCCATCATCAACTCAACTCATCTCCCAATAAGACGTTGTGTAGAGGACGGAACACAGGCACCCTGCTGTTACGTACCAGGAAATCCTTCACTGAAGTCAGTGTAAGCCGACAGGAAGTCCAATGCCCACCGTTTAACTTTGTTATTGTCATGGTGTCAATTTGCATTAGATATAATCTTGGCATCAGTAGTATTAATGATGCATTATAAAATGCTTTGCGCTTGTGTTGAAGTTCAACAGGTCATGACTGCCTCTCTGATTGATTTTATCATGATAGGAAAATAAATATCTGTTAAGAAGGGAATTTCACAAGATTCCATTTGAGCACATTAATAACCATTTACCTCCAGCCTCACTGATACCGAGCTGGACTGTGTCATAATGTACCTCAAGCCGACTGTCCGAAAGCATCAGAAGAGTCACATGGACCGTAACCAGGACTGGTGTCCAGGTCACCGGGAGAAGGTAGGAGTCTCTAACTGATCTGACTCAGAACCAACAGTCCTGCTGGGCCTGAAGTGATGAGGGGAAAACTCAGCTGATCAGTGGTCACGAGCACTGAACTAAAGCGTTTGCTTTGGGTCATGCCAGTAACATTGTGTTCCTTCAGAGCAGATGGGAGGCTCATAAACTGGCCACACATCAGAGGACGACAAGATAACAAGACTTTCCCCACAAACTTCATTGAGTAATACCAGGAAGACCAGCTTATTATACGGTTGCCGCTAATATGAATAAAGGGTCCATTCTCTCGCCTCCCCGGTTGCCCTTTGGCTCTTTGTGCGTGTTCCCATAGGGATCAGAGGAGCACGTTCCCGCCACGCTGCTCATAACTCTGCAGCCGCCGTCAATGAACACATTGATGTCAGAGACGCGACATCGGCGCGATGCTGCTGGAGACGGGGGCCGTTCTGGACCCCCGACGGGGCCCTCATTTGCACATGGGCTTTTCCTGCTGCGGGACATGGAACCTCTCGGGTGGGGCCGGGGAGGAGGATCAGCAGCCTCTACAACCTCAAGTTCAAGTCTTGTGTGATTTGTCAGACATCACTTGTCGCATATATTTCCCAGTGAACCATGAACCACGTCGTCAGCTGGGCTTTGTTTCACGCGTCACGTGTGTCCTGATTGAAATATGTTACAGTTAGAAGATTACATCACTAACGCTTAGCTTAACCCTGAGACAGGAAGCCTGCCTACGTTCAATGGGAAAAACATAAATCGGCCCCTGAAGAAGTCGGCCATTATTCTCCCTGCCAGGAGATTACAGTCTGTCCACATCTCATCTGTACCAAACAGCCGTGCAGCGTGTCTCGCCGTGGCGGATCGCTGCAGGGACCCCTCCCTTCAATCAGACACGTGTGTGTAAATACTGTTTTGTCCCTTCTGCAACACACACACACACACACACACACACACACACACAACCGGCAGGGCCTCTACGCAGCCTCCTCCGCGTCTCTGCAGAGCACGAATCAGTCTCAGTCATTGCTGCCTGCCTCCCTCCTATTATGCCAACTTTGTCTCTGTGTCTTGCCGCACTGCCCATAAACTACATCATCTGCCCGGTGCACAGTCCCACCAGCCAATGAGAGAGCCAGACGGCAGGCGGGGGGAGGACCGGGCTGCTGTGGTGAGTCCCTGATGCGCTGCAGTCACGTAGCTGCTAACGCAGCCGCCGTCCTTCTCCGTCCCATCTTATGTGAACGTGGCAGAAGAGTCTGCATGTCTCCGCCTTTTTGACCATTACTTATTTGATATCTGCCTCTTTTCCGCGTCATGGAAGCGCATAACTGAATTTGCAGCAGTGCCCCTTAAAAGATTCAAACCCACCCACAGATTTATCCATTAAGTTGAATTATGATAAACAGCATTTTGAATTTAAATGTTTTGTAGTCAAATGTGCCAATCTGCTCTCACTCACTTCTGTGGTTAAACAAAAAGTCTTTTGGTGACACTAAAACTTCATATCATTCAATATATCATTTAAAATGATTTAACCCTGAACTGAAAGTGATCAGGTGCAGTATTTGGAACAAAGCAGTTACCAAGACGTCACACAATCAGTCCGGTAAAGAGTAAAGTCACGATCCCAAATGAGGTCCATGCGCGTGTCAATCAGACAGTGGCGAGCAAAAGTCGCTTGCAAAACCTGCTCTGTTCCTCATTCGCGCTCTCGGGTTTACCTTGAAGGCGATTCAGCGTCAAAATCCGAGAGCGTGTTTACAACGTTTACTAGGGAACAAATCAAGAGAGAAGAAGCAGAATGATTGTTCTCATAGAAGTTCTATACAACCAGAGGAGTCGCCCCCTGCTGGCCGGCAGTGAGAATGCAGCTCTGAGGCCCTTTTGCATTGGCTTCACTCTTCAGGCCCCCGAGCAACAAACAGATGACATCACTTCTGGTTCGAGGGGAACTAGACGTTTTAAATCGTTTGTGAGGATCTATGTCTCACTGTAAAAGGACGGCTGCAAATCAAAGGCCATGGTTTTGCTGCATGCCGGGGGGGCCGGGGGGGTCTGGGGTTCGGGGGGTTCGGGGGACTTTGCATTCGATGCCTGTGGCTCACTGACGGAGTAAAGGACAGAGATTCCAGGGTGGAGCTGTTGTTTACATCATAGAGGCACCACTGCGGAGCGGGACCCTGCACGTTAGGCACACACCCCCACAATATACACACAGACATACACAGACATTAAGAAACACCTCAACCCCCCCACACACTTCTTGTGGAAAACACCCTGTAATTGTCGCCCCCCCACGCTGCAGCGAGAGGCCACCCAGACACACACCCGGTTTGCTGGTGGGCATCGCAGCCGGAGAACAGATCTTTGCGTCTGCACGTTGGGCCACAGCGGCACGCAGAGCTCAACCCCACTGAAGTTACTTTTATGGAGGAGTGAATTTCACAACACCAAATCTGATACCAGAGTATCAGAGTGCCGGTCTCTCGTGACAGCGGAGTGTTTCCGTGTTGAAAACATCCTTTCTGAGAGCTGGAGGATGACATTTTGTTGGAGCTTCATCAACAGTAGGAACAAAGAATCTGCATTTCCTTCCAGTTGGCGATTCTTTCTCTTCATCCGACTCTTGGCAAGTCTTTGTGGAAGTGCAACACTAAATGGCGGAGTAGCCAGTTGTTGGTTGGGTGCAGTCAGGCCTGGTTGATTCCCTAAAACCACATTTCCCACAAAAGCACCTCTTCTATTGCAGCAACTGATACTGACAGCAACTGTTCACTTCAACTCTTCTTGGAAAAACAACCCCAGAAGGGTTCTATCAGTCGACGCTTTTGTGATCAAAACTGCTGACTCATGACTTTTTCCTGTCTACCATGTGCCGCTGTGTGACACTGACACCAGCAGCCAGTGGCGGCTGGCCAATAGATGGACGTGAGCCACAAAAAGAAATTACACCAATTGTCACTACGGATGTTTTTGTAACATGGAAGACACCCAGTAGAACTTATAGAACTTGATACCTGTGTGAAATACGTGCTTTTCCTGGAGGTTTCTGCCTGTCTCCACAGCGCTGGGGCCACGGAGACGTGGCCCCAGGGGGCGGGTCTATGAAGCACTTTAGCCAATTGCTGATTCAACCCAATCCCAAACAAGACAACACAATAGAAATGGATTTCGCTCGGGTTTGGTCCTCGTCAGGGCGAGACCTTGGGAGTGCGAGCACTAGCAGCACTCCCTCGGGAACCAGTCCAACTGCTCCTAGAGCTGTTTGAGAGGAGAACTCTGTTGGAGAAACTCCAGGTAGTTGTCTTCAATGCATCATCCGGTGCAAATAATCCCACCAACCCTGTGAAGACTCGTCCTCTTCATGATGGGAATGTTGTATCTGAACACACCGAATTGCCAAATACGATTGTCAAAGTGTCAAATCCTACTGGGACGTTGTCAGAGACTGATTGGATGGTTCTACCGCCCGCCTCCCGAGGCGGAGCCCTCTGCCAGCGAGGCTCGCCGTGACCGGCAGCTAAACGCAATCCCCGTGACGCCAAGTGGACGCCAAGTGGACGCGGCTCAGCGGCGAGCTTCTTTCAGAACCGCTGCAGGACTCACTGTACACGATCGACAACAATCCAGCCCCTGTTGAGTAGTGTGTGTGTGTCCCACATGTGTTACATAAGGAGGCGTGTGCGTGTGGGTGGGATGTGAGCGTGTGTGCGTGTGCTAAAGGAACACGCCGCACACGGCATGCAGCACCTGTTGCGGCCTCGCTGTCCTCGGGCCGCTGACTCGCAGACAGACAGACAGACATCGCTGACGTGGCCGGCGGCGATTGTTTGCGTGCGGAATAGATATTTGGAGTCAGCTGCTGGGGCCCCGGAGCAGGTGGGGGGAGGAAGTGAGCCGTGAAAGAGGAAGTCGCCGGACGTCTTGGTTTGTCCGTCTCTGACTAAAGCAAAGCCAGCTGCTCCCAGGTGGGAACTTGTTCCATGGAGGAAACGAACGAGACGTCACAGAAGTTACCTTCACGCCGTGTTACTAAAAACGTGTTACTTTGGGCGCCAGCTTTCAATTTGAAGTGAATTTTACACAATTGCCTCAAAGAATTGTGGCTTATTCACAGCAGAGCCTTTGACCGTTGCTGTGGAGATGATGGCGTCGCTGCTGCGTGAGCATCGGGTCTGTCAGAACCGGAGAGGATTCACTCATCCATTTATTTTCATTCATTTATAAAGCATTTTGTAAATGGTTTCACCATTAAACCACCAGGTTTCCACTCGACAAAACACACTTCCAGCACATAGTTTACTGTGATTTGAGGTTTCTTGTTGAGGACAAGCATGTGTTGGACAAACAGTCCCCCAGGCGGGTTTGGGTCGCAGATATTGTCCAAGATACAGTTACACTTGTACCACATTGGGTGTATTTTTACTCACGCCGACTCATGATATTCATCTTAAAATGTTCTTCTGTATTTTCTTTCAAGGGTTTCTTAACAAATTAAATTTGAATTTGAATCTGGTAAAAAATGAAATCATCAAAAAATGATTGTCTCTCTCTCTCTCTAATTAAACAAGTTTTTTTTGCTCCCGTTGACTGTCCCGTTCGTCTCCCGTTACCAGAACAAAAGTCCTTAAGAGTTAAAGGTTCATTTGACATGTAAGAGACGAGACGAAGGCTGTGTGAGGATGAGGAGGGCTCAGTGTCCAGAACCAACTACTGTCAACACCTGGAGGACACGAGACCACAGACTCCCCCATCATCCCCTCACAGCGTCCTCACGCCCAGGTGATCTATTAAATGTCCCGCCTGCTCCAGATCGTCCCTCGTCTTCGTCGGGGGACTGACATCACCAGTTGTTAGTCCGACCCAGCGCGCTCGCTGGGTGAACAATGGGCCGCTGGCTCGCTCCATCCCTCCACTGGGGGCCCTCAGTGTGGCTCAGCCACAGGGGGATGTAGACCCCCTGCTGGGACGAGACGCCTCCCTTGGAGTTTATTTAACACTGTGGACACTTTGAAGTGAGGGACATGAAACAGGCACTGCTCCTTTAATTGGAGGACCTCGGGATAAAGGCGCATAAGCAGGCACGTACTCACCACCGCGGACACACGCGGGGGCCACATGGTCCCGGGAGCTAAACACAGAGGAGGGTCGCGCAGAGGTCCAAGTTGTCTGCTGGAGAAGCACTTCTCATCCCTAGATGGTCCTCCTCCTCTTCATCATCATCATCGTCGTCGTCGTCGTCATCGTCCTGCTGGGCTCGCGGGAGGAGAGGAGCTGTGGCGCAGCCGCCGCCTCAGCCGCGCTGCTTTATAGTCCGCGCGTCCCGGCGCAGCGGCTCCCGGCGGCGCGGGGCCGCGGCGCTGCGGCTGCTTCCCATGGCGGTGATGGAGGAGGGTCACGCGGGGGGGGGGTCGGGGGGTGTAGCCGCCTCGCCCCGTCCAGGTTCGTCAGTGTGCACAGCGCGTCTCTCTCTCTCCCTCTCTCTCTCTCTCTCTCTCCCTCTCCCTCAGACAGCGCTGCCGGGATGACGTAAGCACAGAGGGGCGGGGTTGGCGACGCTCCTCGGCCAATGGCAGCTGCGCATGAGCCGGGCGCGTTTGTGGTTTAACCCCGTCCTGTCGGGGAGGGGCGCTGGGACGTAGTTTGCGCAGGTGACCCCCCCTGGTTCAGTCCCAGGACATCTTGTCCTCGCTGTGGGACGTTGTTCTTTCAAGGTGTATTGTGTTGTTGTTATTGTTGTTGTTGTTTTTGTTATTGTTGCTGTTGTCTACACACTATGTTAAAAACGTGTGCGTCACGTGACGAACGCCACCAATTTGTCACTTCACTAAAGACTCGTGAGGCGAAATGTCAACATGGACAAAAGTTGAGTGAGTGGTGACTGGCTCCACTAATGATGAAGCACAGTTGTGCGAGGGACAAACAACACGGCATTAGTGGCTCAAGTGACACACACACATTTTTCACATGAGCTCTAAGGCTTCCCATGATGTGACTGCGGTGAGCTGCAGTGTGGGTTTACGTTGGCGGCCCCCCACCCGGCGCACCGCGGGGCCGATCCTCGGCTCCACCCGCTGCCTCTGGGAGGGCAAATAAGAATCGAAGGGGGGTTCATTTAAGACCCCCTCCCGTTTTACCACAGTGGGGGTCAGACCGTCTCCCCGGTCCTGGTTCTCCCTCCACCTGCCTCGCCCCCCAGCGAAGCAGTATCTGGGGATCCGGGGGCCGCTTGGGGGCCGCTTGGGGCCCGGCGTGTGAAGGAGTTCCCCTGTGAACCTGTTGATTTCATTCAATCGAGCATTCGGAGTAAATACAGACAACGTGAAACGGCTTCACAAGCGTTTCCAAGGGACTGTTCGCTTCAGCCGGTCGACGGGGGGGGGGGGCAGAGTGGAAGTGGGTCAGGGAGGCAGTGGAAGGAGGGAGGGGGGGGGGCACGCCGCTGCTGCTTCCTCGCGGCGCAGAACCGGTCACTGGGGGGCGACCAGGTCCTCAGGCCGCGGCAGTGGGGGGTCTACTGATCGAATGAACCGGCCATGGGGGGGTCTGTGTTCAGGGGGGAGAGAGACAGAGAGTGTGTGAGCACTTTTGTCTTTAATCCAGTGGTTCTCAAATGAGGGGGCGTGGCCCTCTGGTGGAGCGTGGAGGTATTACAGGTGGGGCGCAAGGGGAAATGTAGCTAATAATCTTTTTTTTTAATGTAATTTATTTAATTTCAAGTCCTTTATTAATCCCACGTGGGGAAGTGATTGTGGTTTCACCCTCAGTGAGTAAGGAGCAGTGTGCCGCTGTGAAGCACTGGGCTTCAGTGCCTTGCTCAAGGACACTGAGACACAAACTGTGGAGAGAAGACGATGGAGCCGCATGTAAAACATCACAGCTCCGTTTGGTTACGTCCACTTACTTCTTCTCTTTGACTCAAAGAACTCTTAGATTTGAACGTAACTGTTCAAGTTAAAACGTACAGTGCTGCTTTGTGTTGACGTATTCTATTATTAATAGAAGCAAACATGGAGTCACAAACATTTGAATGACTTTTTCTTCCAACGACATTCCCTGACATCAAAGCTCAACGAACAAATCACACGTTGCAAATAATAGTACAATAATTACAACCCAAGCTGAACCTATTGGACGGCAGCGTTAAACCTCCGGTGCACAGACACACAAATAGGGGATCGCTTCCTTCAAACCTGATTCTGAATTATGAGTATTTCCATATAATTAGATTCAGTATTTTGGTGACAGGGAGAAACATCCCCACTTTATTACTCACATTGGAACCATTATGTTTTGTTTCATAGGTTTTAAATGAAGACGTTATCTTATTAAATACTTTCTGATTTTCATACATTTCAGTGATGAGCACTGGATGAAGCTTTTACTACTCGCTCCAAACGTGTTTGATGATTCAACGTGGATCTTGGCGAGTTCAGTGTTCTTCTTTTATATCTTCATTTTTATGTCTTTTGTTCCATTGAAGCAAATAATTTTGAAGTGACCAAATGCTTCTTTAGTGTTTACTGTTGAATTTGTCTGAATGAGAATCGCGTTTCTTTAGCGGTTGAATTGTTCCTACTTTTGTTAGAAAACGTTTGATACAGATCAGGTTCCTTTGACTGAGCTGCCACCTCGTGGCCTGTAGTGCTCACACACACATATACATATATATATATATATATATATATATATATATATATATATATATATATATATATATATACACACACACACACACACACACACATACATAGCGTTCATCCACACGGGTTGGTAAACCGCTGTTGGTAAAAGTAGACTTGATATCTGGTCACTACACTGGTGAATAAAGTCTAGTGACGTGTTTTGGGATCACGTTTAATGCTTTAACCCAAATAAATAACCAGTTGCTATTGAACTGTGAACCACAACGACCTGTGATACTAATCAAATATCGCATTAAAGATGTGATGAATAAACAGCACAGCTGCATCTGATGAGCGGGGTCTCCTACTTTCACACGTCACGTTCGCTTCCAGACGCACAGATTTAGTTCTTTGAGAAGAAACAAATAAATGTTTTTTGTTGTCTTGACAACAAATACCACCCCCTTATCTGTGATGACTGTTCACCTTTCTAACTACCTGTGATGGTCTGTGTGCAGCACGCTTCATTTCGTCGACAAAAACTATGACGACCTTAAAAAATAAAAACTAAATCTTAACTTTCGTTAACGAGACGAACATGTTGGTGGTTGACGAAGTCACGATACTTTCCCCCCTAAATCCGCACGCAGCTGACTGACGACAGACAGGCAAAGTACGGCGGATTAACGCGTCATGATGACGTCATCCACCAACCCACACCGCTTACAGCGGCGGTTCTTGTGCACTACGGACCAGTGATGGGAAGTTCGGATCATTGTACCGACTCGGCTCTTTGAATCTCGTTCAGTAAAATGAACGGGGATTAAGATAAATTCCTGCATTAAAATAATGTATCATGACAGTCTGGATGATTTGAAGTGATCATTTATTTTCACACTAGCGTTCAATTATCACGGCATAACTATTATACATATACACTGAACTCTAAGTGAAGAACAAAAAAGTTAAAATAACGAAACCTGTAATTATTACTTGTGAAGGAATATCATTCACGTCTTACCAAACCGAGCCACGCGAGTGAACGAGGTAAACAAATCCTTTCTGTCTCCTCTGAGCGTGAAAAACCATCCAAAGATCCGTATCCGAAGACCCCGTCAAAATGAACGAATCGTGTCTGTTTTCTCTTTTCGTTCATGGTTCATTTTCCACGTGACCTGCATTCAACGAATCGTGTCTGTTTGCTTGGCTGAGGCGACGCAGGTCCCGATGCGCGGCCACGACCAAACGAACGGATCTTCTTTTGAGAGGACTCGTTTCTCTCGAGTCCTCGTAAGGATTCGTTCAGAATGAACGATTCGTTCAGAATGAACGAATCGTTCATTAACGACACATCACCACTACAGGCCCGAGACGACTATTTTACGCTTCGGCGAGTTTGAACGTGGCTTCGTTAGTTCAGCTCAGCGGTCTCGGTTTAGTTATAAACTCGTTGCAGGTTCTGAAGCCTCACGCATTTCAACCGTAGTTCACGCGCCACATCGTGAGAAGACGTTAAACCGCCTCGGACACCGTACGCTCGTTACTAAGCAACATAGAGGCGCCGCACACGTGACAGGTGGAGAAGTGATCAGTGCAGGTGGAGGACGTGGCGGCGCAGAGCAGGTGGAGGAAAACCCGCAGGACACAAGAGAGAAGAACTGCTCATGAAACCAACAAATAAACAAAGAGAAAGAAAAGACTGAATGAAAAGTGGGGTCCAGTTTAGAACGGCTGCTTTATGATGCAGCCAAGAACATAATGCATTGCAGCGATTGTAGGACGTTAATGTCTCTTCAGTTGGGACAATGGAAACAATAAAGGAGCATGAAGTGTCAAAAGCATTGCAAGTAAACAGACAAAGACAACAAAGTGTTGCGTTTGCCAATTTGTTAAATTGCCTTGCAAATAAATGCTTTGCTCTTTGTTAAAATCCAAATCCTTTCATGTAATGATGTTTCACATGTAATTTATATTCGCTCACACAAACACTTCAACCATTTGTTCTCGACTAAAACTAATATGCATTTTTCATCTAAAGACTAAGACTAAATCAAAAATGAACACTGTGCATTACGTCGTGTTCACGGCGACATTGTGCAGGAGGGCTGCTGGTGAATAGATGCAGATGTAAATGAGGACCACCTGGACTCCGCTGGCATCCACGCGGACCGGTGTGTGTTTGTTTGTGTGTGCTACTCGTACGGTCAAACACATTTGCTTAGCATTTGTGTGTTATGCCGCCTTGTGAAAGTCGACACTTTGCCTGAACGGAGCGTGACAGGATGAATTGGCCCTCAACCTGTTTCACCGCCGCCCGCTGCTCCACTGATAAGCTGGTAATTGGCAGCGTGTTCCTTTATCGCGCAGCAATCGCTGCACGGTGGAAAGAGCCTCATCACGCGCGGGGGCCCACATGGAAAAGCCCCCCTGGGATGAGGGGGTTTATTGTCATCAGTCAGATCAGCAGCAGCAGAGTAAAAGGACATTTTGCATCTAAAACAAGACATTATATAGATATATTATTGTGATTCTTCACACAGGCTCTGCTGAAGAATTTATTCATGAGCAGTTTCGTTTCCTTCCCGGCAGTCACGTACTTTGGGGTTTGTGTGAATATTTCAAATAGCATGTTGAGTTGTTTTGTGCCTTCGTGACGCTGCCAAAAGAATGAGGAAACTCTGCATCTTTCTCAGTCAGCTGGCGTATAACCGCCGTTCTCTTCTTTCCATTGTGCTTTTATATTACTGAACTATAAACTGTTACAGCGTCTCTTCCACTATTGCAAGTGATATTACAGTTGTGCTGA